GAGCTACCATGTGGGCTTTGTACGGATTTGGGGGATGCTAACGAATGCATAATATGCAGCCAGAACCAACGTCTTAATGTGACTTCTGAATCACGAAGGACCTGTAAATAATAAGGTTTTGACCATTGCGAGCGTTGAGGAGCTGGCGAACAAAACGGTATAATTACATAAAATTAAATTATACAAGAGCTGTAAAAACTGTTTGATATATCTCCAGCGAGCTTTTGGCATGGTTTTTAGTTCATAAATTTAGTAATTTAAACACTGTTTTGGGCGGTTTTGATTAAAAATTATTTGAGATTCAAATTCAGCGGACCCGAAACCTCCGCACTGTAATAACAGAGTAGTTTGACAAGATGCGTAATTTACCGTTTCGTTCGCCAGCTCCTCAGTTATAACTTTGCCATCAAGTTTCTCGAATGTAAATCAAGTATTTATAATTATAATGTATGACTTCGTGAATATTTTATGAGAAAGACCAAAGAAAAAGTATGTAGGTATCTAAGACACTTCCGTTCGGCGTTATGCCACTGGTGATATTGGATTCCCTCGGTAACGTTTGAGTATATTAGAATATTAAATTGCTTCAACCCACCATATTCGCTTATTGAAATGAAATCCTGCATTACCTACTTTTGAATACAAACGACTATATTCAGCGCATGTACAATATTAGAGACTCGACTTCGGAGCGGAGAGCTAAGTTTATAGGCCATAGTTATTTACAACTTCGTATTATTAAAGTACTGGGTCGAATATTAACAATTTTTAGGGATTGGATCCAAGTCGACAAATATAGTTGTAGAGCGGCAAACTTTTCTGCCACATCATTTAACTTTGCGATGACTGAATGAATGAAATAATATCAGAGGGCTCAGACAAATGTATATATGTCGTAAGATGATATTATGCTAAATCGCATTTCCACGAATCCTAGAGATCTTGCGAAAACACGGATGTTTAGACAATGGCGTAAACATTGCTCATTGTCAGTGTTAACGATTTTTTTTTCTGGATGGTCACAGCAGTAACCTAACGTAATTTAATCTAGTGTGAACCCAAGAATCCAAAATCCCAAGAATATTTATAATAAGTCAACGATTCTTTCCGCAATCTTACTAAGGCGACTCGTTTATTTGCAAAAATCTTATCTTTTTTAAGTCTACTTATCCGCGATTTCGCAACATCGCTAGTATTTTCGCGAAAATTTGATTTATCAAATCATCCTACGACAAATATAAAAATAAAAGCTATAAAATCATAAAAAAGAACAATATGTTTTCAAACACATTTATTTAACATTCACGCACACGTTTTAACATTCTGCCATATAAAGTATATTTACAGTAAATAGTAGGTTTATAGGAACCACCTTAATTATTAGGTAACCTGTTTATCTAACACAGACTTCTCACACAGAGAACACAACATAATTACAGCCTATTTAGTCCAGTCATTTCAGGAACTTTGAGCTGAATTTTGTATACACCTTTATTATGTTTTGTAATGAAGATGTGAAAAAACCGACACTGATATCGTGCCGGCTAAAAAAGTTCTAAATGGCACAAAAATCAGTTTTTCGCAAATATCTCACGACCTATTGCTCGGAGGTCAATAGAGGTCATTATCAGAGGTCAATTTTCGTGCAAGTTTTATAAAGTTAACCGTTTTCGGAGTAGAGCGGTAAGAAAGCGACTACTTTGCACTCACATACGGTATTCTATACCGTACACCAGGCTTAGATTAAAACATGTTTTAATTTAAGACACCAGGGAAACTTAGTAAAATCTGTTATATAATATATTATACAAACGACCTCCACTGGCAGATATTCCGTATTTTATTGTCCCAAGACCCGTCTCTTTGTACCTGCTACTGCCTTACAGACTATATTTAACTCAGTTATTTTTTTTTCTTGAGAGTTAAAAATGTTATTTTAGTAGTGTCAGCCAGTGTATCGTACATTTACGGTGCTCCAAAGTCAGAATATTCGATAGATATTTACAGACTCTGTAATTATCTATACTTATAATAAATCTGTAGAGAGGTCAATTCTGTACATGAAATATATTTTCAAAATAACTATCAGGGGGTGATTAGTGATCGATACTGATGCCAAAAATGCAATCAGTAAAAATTTTGTCTGTCTGTCTGTCTGTGTGTATGTTCATTATAGAAACAAAAACTACTCGACGGATTTTAACGAAACTTGGTACAATTATTTTTCATACTCCTGGGCAGGTTATAGTATACTTTTCATCACGTTACAATCAATAGGAGCAGAGTAGTGAAGGGAAATGTTGGGAAAACGGGAAGTTACTCCATTTTTTCAGCTTCCGTCGCGTGTGCAGCCTTAATGGTTAAAGTTACATAGAAATTATGTATGACGGAAATATTCTACATAAAATTGTCTAAAAAATATCCCGCAACAGCATATGTCTATCTTTTATGGTTGACTCACAATAACACGTGTAACTCCTGATAGTTTAGCAGTTCGGAGCATTCCGATTATATAACGTAAATATGAGAATTTTAGTTTGATTATAAATACAAGTAATAAAAATGACCATTTTTATCTATATATGTATATAAAAGTCAAAGGGGACTGACTGACATAGTGATCTATCAACGCACAGCCCAAACCACTGGACGGATCGGGCTGAAATTTGGCATGCAGGTAGATGTTATGACGTAGGCATCCGCTAAGAAACGATTTTGATCAATTCTACCCCCAAGGGGATAAAATAGGGAATGAAAGTTTGTATGAAACTTTGTCAATTATAAACCAATCGGGCTGAGACTTTGCATGCAGGTATAAGAAGAGTCATAGATGAATGTCATTGTGTTTAATACAAGCCTGAGAAAAAAAACTATAGTGTATGTACACTTCAGCTCTACACCGAAGCGAAACGAGGGCGGGCCGCTAGTATATAAAATGACTGGACTAATTATGACAGTGACACAACACAATGATGCACTAATAGTAATTAAAAATAATCATAACCTAATAAAAAAAACAGGTGAATCTAAATCAATATATATTTATTTAAATGGTATTCATAGTATTGTATTTTGAATCTTCCAAATTTTTTTGGACATATTTTTAGCTGCCAAGTGAAAACGTGCGAAAAAAATCCACAACATATATATTTTTTTTTATTTGAATGGGAAAACTCACAGCTATTCATACAAAATTTGCTTTAAAAATTTAACAACTATAAGCCATTAATAAGTTTTCACTTGTAAATATGAAGAAATTTTAAAGATTGGAGATTAAATTTTACAAGTTGAGAAAAAAATTAGACAAAAAGGAATTTTATAAATTACATTGAACATAAATAATAAAAGTACATACAAATATTGTAACTGAGTGAGTAATGGTACCTTTTTGTGACTAAAAAGTTCGGACTTTTTTCGAAATGTCAGGATTTTTGTCAGGACTTTTTAAAATCCTAAATGGTAGCCCTACTTGGGACTTTATTTTTTAAGCGAACAAAAATTAAATTAATTACTGACTTTGTGAAGCCTAGTAGTAGGTTAAGTTATTGCTTACTTACCTTCCTATTTAAATAATATAATCCATATTAATAAAAAATAATATCCGAAATGTATGTATGTCTATACTTTCTATACTGGCATCGTAACTTCCGTACGACTGCACCAAACCACCAAATAAAAAAAACTTGATAATAATAAAATGTCAAAACTCACACCAATTAGCCTAGCCCCAAAGTAAGCACTATGAGGCTTGTGTTATGGGATACTAGGGTAACGGGTAGAATACATAACTGTACATATATAAGTATGTTTTTATAGAAATACATATGAAACATCCATGACTGGAGTACAAATGCTCGTATTCATCACACAAACATCTGCCCCCACCGGGTTTGAACCCGGGACCTCTCGAGTCGGCAACACCATGAAACCCGGCGTACAAACCACTCGGCCACGGAGGTCGTCAATTATTATTATTGTCTATTATTGCTTAGTTTTCATTCTTTCTTTATTGTTTTTGATATTTTTTCTTCAAGAAATAGAATTATGATTGAAACAATAAATTAATAATTGTTTTTTACATGTAATGCAATTAAAATAAATAAATAATTTGATGGTTCAGTGGATTGCGATCCGATTGTTATGTCGCGCCATCTCTGAAGGTCCAAGACAGCGCGTTCAATCCCTGCTTATGGTAAACTAACTTTATTTCTTAAATATAAAACATATGTTTTTTGTATAATCTATAAACTAACTTTTGTTTCTACTACTTAATAACTTATCATACAGATGGGTGCCTATTCATTCAGACTAAAATTCATTCATTTCAGAGGCAAAAGCACTTCATTGTATCTTCAATGTCAAATTTTGTATGGAAGAAGCCAGTTTATTCTTACGTCCGGTAGGGGCGCTGCTTAGTTTTCATAGAAACTTTAACGATGCGATACGATTACGGAACTGTCAAAGTTCGTGCTTGGGCCTCTATTCTCAGGTCCTCACCCTTTGATACTCTATGAATGGGTAAATCGACAAAGGGTAAATTGATATGCAACTAAGCACAAAGGGTAAATTAACATACAACTAAGTATGGTGCGTGTGTTTGTTGTAATTTAAGAAAAATTCTGACATTTCTAAATTCACGTCCTTGAATTACGAGCATTTACGCGGATCGAGTCTCCAAGTGAATGGCGCGTCGTAAAACGGCGGTTCGCAGCCCGACATGAAAGATGGCTGTTAATTCACTGGCATAACGAGGTAACAACTCTCTTTATTTGCCGGCCGACATCTTCATTTCATTGTTTTTTGTTTGTTTTTTTGTTAATAAGACAAGTGTAATTTTCTCTGTCAAAAAATACCATTTTTATTATGAATTCGTGGTTTTACAACTATATTAAAAACGTCGAGTTCTGTAAAAGTATTGTGAACCTATTTTTCAACACATTTGCTAAAACACTGCATTTACTGACTTTAAAATGAGGGTCCATACGATGGAGCGTGCGGTAAAAATTTACCGCACGCTGCCATACATGGCGCTGTGCGTATCTTTAACAGTGTATTTTTAATTTCGGTCGAACTGGCTTTTAATCTCCTTTTAAACCTTTGTCTCACTTAAATACTAAAAAGATACAGCGACGAAAGGTATACATAGTTCTAATTTTCACCTGTGGGTGTGTGTGGCGCCATTTGGAAATGCGAGCCATTTTTTTATTAGAAAAAGTTTCATTTATTTTATTTTATTTTATTTATATAGGCACAACCAACAAGATTATCCACTTATAATATAGTATAACAACAATTTATAAATGATATTTCAAAGTTACATCTTAATTATAGGCTGCCACGGCATGCACTAAAGACAATTATTAGAGTGTGGAAATTGGCTTCATTACTTTAATAAGCTAAGTATACTGTACCCCTAGCACGAACCATTATCGAATTCGAATAGTTTGCAAACCGAAATGTCAATGTCAAATTTTGTACGGAAACTTGCACAGCAGCGGCACAAAGTACGTAAACAGAACTAAAAATCAATACACATTTGACAATGACATTTCGGGCTCGATTTCGATTAGAATTCGATATTGGTTCGTGCTACGGGTACAGTACACATTTGACGATGACATTTCGGACTCGCAAACGTTACGAATTCGATATTGGTTTGTGCTAAGGGTACTGTTCTCGCAAATGTGTTCAAAAACGTTGTACGACATTCGTGTGGAATAGGTATAACCAACTCGTGACTATGGTAAACCCTCGATTTCGTGAACTCGTTTGTAATAACCAACTTACCGCACTAATATTATAAATAACTAATAAACCCGTTGATTTTTTTTTTTATTTATCTACTTATATTAAAGAATTATTAAGAACATCGATAGAACAAGATAGACCTGAACTTAGCCATATTTTCTCAAAAAAAATGCGATCATTTTTCATTTACAATAATTTAGTTATTTAACAGAATTGGTTCATTATTATTAAAAGTCAATTCCAAAATTTCAGATATTTAAAATATTACGGTACGGCATAAAGCACGTAACGCGGTTGTAATTAAGTAGAATAATCGTAAAGTTAATTAATTGACTATAACAAAAATAAATAACAAAAGATTTCCTTTTACAATTTATATAAATGAAAATTGACTCAGATTTGTTCTGTGCTATAGTAATTAAGAAAAGGTTCATATCATACATTATTTTTTTTATATTTATTACTTAAATTATGGTAAAATACCTTAATAAAATAAAATTAACAGTACAGCTGTCCCATGTTAGGGTTCGGCCAGATTATATAACATGTTATATGAGTGAGTTTTCTTATATGTAAAATACATCAATATGATCTAACATTGTATTTGTACCTACATTTTTGTTATATACTTTGGTCGAACCGGTATTGATTATTGTTCGTTTTTAACAACAAAAAAATCTGTAACAGCTTTTCATTGTCTTAATTGGTATGTCTTGCATCTGTGCAAAATAGAGCGGATCTCTTGCTTCTTATTAAATACAGATTGTTCTCTTACACAATTAGCTATTCACTATTCATTTGTTAACTAATTCAGTTTTTCCATTAAATTAATGATCCAAACAGTCTTCTGCTTGCCTGACCTGCATATATAAGATCTCGCTGTTGCTCCTGCGTTCTTTCTTCGGCTGTTCCTCTGTGCTGTGTCCATATTGGTACCCTTTCGACAAGTAGTGAAACACGACTAGCGATACGAGCATCAGGCACGTATATAAGAAGAACTGCGTGTCCTGAAATGAAAGTTAGGAGTTGTTCTAATTCAAAACAATCAGGCAATTCATCAATTGTAAATCATTCAATCAGGTGTAAATTTTCAAAATCCGAAAACACGATTAAACATCGTCATCATTAGCCTATTAATGTCTCCAGATGCACAGACCTTTCCTATGGATGGAATAGGGAGACTTAACGTGTCTTTCGAAGCACGTAGGAACGCATCATTAACAAGATGCTTTACTTCCACTATCACAGACAAAACGCCTAGCTCCTCAAATATATGAGCGATCGCACACTTAGATTAAAACAAAAAGGGAAGATACGGTACGCTCATACTAGCATCAAATAAAATATGATCCGACTCAACTACATAAGCAACTCTTACACACGCACACTTGTGTAAATAAACATTCAAAAGCATCGAAGGCATTGTTTTATCTTTATAACACAGAATATACGCAATATTGTTATATTGAATGCACATGCATCGTGTTTGGATGTCCAATTGTAACTAAGGCCAATTGTGGTCATGCAGCACAATTTATCCGGATCACTTTTGAGCCGCGAGTGCCGTATCTTACCTTTTTGTTTTAATCTTAGATCACACATGAATGTAGAAAATGTGACACAATTGTTGTTTGGATGATGTGACTTGATTTCGCTCGCGTTCTATTTGGAATTTTGGGCGCGTTGTATAAGTTATGGTTACCGACCTCGGAGTCTATCAGTTTTAAAAATAATAATAAAATAGATGAAAATGTCGAGTGTGTATGTGAAGGAGACGCCAATATTTTATCGAAGTCTGTGGATCACCAGATTATTCTTGTACGTAACTGGCTTGATATTGGTATCACTAAGATCAAGTTCGATAGTTACTCAATGTAGTTACAGAACTTTACCATTGTAGTCTCGAGTGAGTGATTCTGGTAACTACCTCTATTTCTCAATTGTATGATACAAACGCTTCAGGTACTTACTAAGGATCAGAGCTTGTAATTAATGTATTAATGCCAACTTACTAGTCTTGTTTTTATTAGGTAGCACCGAGTGCCCGCGACTTTGCTGCGTTTCACCTTGTTATAACTAATGTTTCCCATATTCCTCTATGGTGCTGAGACGTGGACCTTGCGAGAGAGTGAGAAAAAGAAGATAGATGCTCTAAAAATGTGGTTCTGCAGGATAATGCTTGGCATATAGTGGACATAATTCCGAACCAATGCATCCATCTCCAGGAACTGTCCATCAAACAACGTCTTTCTTCCATCGTACAAGGTCGTATTCTCACTTTCTTTGGCCACATCTCATGCTGAGAAGATGCGTCAGTGGAACGCCTGGTGGTGCAGGGCATAGTCGAGGGCGTAAGGGCACGCGGCAGATCACCAATGCGCTGGACCGATCAGATAAAAGCGGCACTGAACGGTCCACTTCACGAGTGCACGAGAAAGGCCGCAGTGCGGAAGGAATGGCGGCGTATTGTGAAGCGCGCCACCAACCCTGATGTGACGACAACGACCACTCTGTCAAGTATGTAGCGCCGAAGAAGAAGAAGGTATACTTTCAGCGAAAACACAAACTTTTTTTCTAAAAAATACTCAGTTCTATTTATTTCTCACCAATCATTATAAGCGTGAAAATGTAGCGGACAGGCAAACAGATCGAGTTACTTTAATTTATAATATTAGTACGATTCGAATCGGTGACAGGAATTCCTATCAAATCACTTACAGGTGCTACCCTATACACTAAGTTTCCAAAACAATAGCAAACGGAAGTATCTACAAGTTCTGCAAAACTATTTGAGTACCTGCCTATTTAAAGTTTGGTAATCTCTCAGACACAATGTAAATAAACTCCTCTAGATTGATATCGTGGATAAACGCAGTTCTTGGTATAGTTTGAAAAGTTCACTTGTTTGTATCAAAAGCTTTCATTTCACTAAAAGTAATTACGGCTCCTGACAAATGGAACTGTTTCAAAAACAACTACAAGGGAGATCTCTTAATGGCGATTCACGTTTATCGTTTTCACGGAATTGTTATGAATTGTTATAACATTTTTATGATAATTAATTGTTTCTCTTTATTTTTTTCTAGCTTTCATTGTAATAATTCATTGAAATACAATTTATTATCGAAGACGCATCCGGGCAGGACGTACATTATGCGGCGTTCAGTTGTAACACTCAAATCCAAGGTTATTAAATGCGAAAAAACAATTTCATTTAGTAGGTATTTAATACATATTACATAATTAATTATTTAGTTGAATAGCAATGTCACTTACATCGGTGGTATTGTTATTGGACTACTTAACTAAAAAAAACTGATTAAATATTAATTTAGATGTTTCGTTGAAATGTCCCATGAATGGTGATAGACTTGTCGCTAGCCACTCATGAGGTAGGCGGTGACGATAATGTTGCCGTCATCTCACACTCACTCACATCACACTTTTCATTAGTAAAACTGTAAAAACATTGTTTTCTCAAAAATCACGGTTTGTCGTGAATGTTATTTACGAAATTGCTATTTTGTTATCAAGAAAAGAACAACAATACAGCTCAGCCGTACGGACTCGGAAGCGGACTCGCCGTTTCACTCGCGCTGCGTTGAAGCGTACAGTTCTGTTTCGCTCTGTTAGACGGAGCACTTAGTTTAATTTAAAAAAAAAACTTTATTTGCTCACAATCACTTTATTTATATATTTATGTTTGTTATAACACTGCTATCACTTTATTGTTCACTACTACTTCCTTTTAGTTTTAAGGATAACGACTCGCGACGGGCTAGTTTACTAGGCCGTTGAATAGTTCTTCAGAGTTTTAGGCATGCGTCCGATATATCAAAACGAATCCAAAATCCGATTTCAAACACAAATCGATACCAAACGATTTCTCAACAAGAAAATCCGATTTTAGAAATCTAACCGAATCAAAACGCTAGCGATCTGATACCACCACAAGTATCCAAATGTAAATCGGATTCGAAATTCGTGCTTTCGTTTTCGGAAGTCCGATTTCGTGCTCGGAAGTCCGATTTCGGTTTGATGTTTACGAAAGTCGAGCAACTATCATTTTTTTTAACGCTAACCTGATGTAATTAGGTTTGATTTTGTAAATGGTTTGAAAAATAATAAAAAAAAAAGAAATCATTGTATATAAGCCGATTTTTAAATGCGCCGCAATAATTTTACTCTTAACCGTAAAGATAACTTTTCTGCTAGTCCTAAGCCACAGAATATATACTCTTGCCTAAGCCTAGATTTAAAGCATAAAGGAAAATCGCGAAAACTATGAGTATCCTTGCTTCGTACAATTAATTGTTTGTGATTGTCGTTAGATAATAAAACCAAATCATAACACAAACTAGTGAATTGGCTAAGTTCGGCACATCTGAAATCGGATATCTAAAAACGGATTTTAAAATCGATTTTGAAATCTGAAATCCGATAAATATCCGTTTGCGTTCAAAACCAAAAACGCCCATGTCTACAGAGTTTCCTTGCTGAAGGCCAACCGGCAGGCAGAAACCAGGTCCGTTGTTGGGCAGCAATTCCACAAATCAGAACAAGACTAACTGTAATATTGAAATCGCGGGTTTTTATACATAAAATATTGCTGATCACAAATTTAATATTGGAAATAATTATTCATTATAGTTTTCCTAAGTCAGCAACATTTCTGTAGTAGGCATTAGGTAGGCAGGTTATAACAGCTCGTCGATTGAATGTTTATTTACAGACGTGTACGTGCGTGAGCGTTACGTATGTAGTTGAGTCGGAGCATATTTTATTTGATGCTAGTATGAGCCTATCGTATTCCCTTTTTGTTTTAATCTAAGGCGTTAATGACTGTAGACGCAGCCGGGACCAACGGTTTAACGTGCAATCCGAAGCACGGAGAAGCTCGAGATAGTAAATTTTTGGTCACCCATCCAATGACCAACCATTGCGAAAGTTGCATAACTTATACTATCGCAGGTTGAACGCGCTATCCCACTGTGATTTACTAGTTTTAGAATGATCAAATCAATTGTTAGCTTTTAGATCTAAGAATACATAGAACGCAAAGAGGTATTGAGTATATGTTACCTGTCGGTAGCCGCTCATGAGGCGCGTGATGGCGATGATGATGATGTTCCCGGCTGCCTCGGTCAGCAGCCAGGATGCCGTCATCACCGCCTTCATGCTGTCCGGTGCTTCTTTGAATGCGAACTCGTTGCCGGTCACGGCGAATAAAACCTACATACGATACCCAAAGCTTTTTTATATTTATTTAATGCATTGAACTGCCAGTTACAAAAATATAAAGAAAATTTTACTAGAACAACTCCACTTGGGTGAATTTAAATCAACTACAGAAACCCTAATACAAACATGCTCATTTACATTTTTATCAGGTCGTTCTTCTCTCCCCTTATCACATCATTCCTCAATCTGTCCCTCATGTTCACACATTCACATACACATTTAAGACAATTACTCATTTCTACTGCATTTACTCGACCATCCTAATTTCTGTTAGCGGTATTACTACCATCTATCTTTTTGCGAGTCTCAAATATTTTTTACTTCAATCACTTAGTGATCAATGTCAAAATATCGGGAATTCGCAAAAAACAAGGTGCCATGTAGCCAAGGCTAGCAACCCCGCTAATTACTTAATGTTAGTAATCAAAAAAGTTTTAAAATATCATATCTTCACTTTATTAATAATATTTGCTACTTTAGCCAGCACTTGATGTTACTTGGGTATTTGTCGTAACAACAAAACTTTCTTTATTAAGAATGTTGTATAGTTCGATACTAAGTTTAATAAAACATCATATTGTGTTAACAACATCCCAACACAACTATTGATTTGGAGACTATCCAAGAAAACTTTCTTAATAGGTGCTTTTACCTGAATACAGCCAAGCACAAAAGTCGATTATAGTGTTCCATTCTCAAAAAAAAATAAAAATGGTGTGGGGAAAAAATTGCAAAAACTCACCTCAGCTATGGACATAATGAGAAACTGTGGGAGGAGCAGAGCCATTGTTATGGAGTTAGCGTCAGTAGTCACAATTAGATTGGATCTCTGTAAAAAAAACAATAGTGAACAGATATTTAAATAAGATAATTTTTTCATGTTACATGACATAAGATTTGATTGATAGTCACTTGAACACACGATAGACTAAAATAATAGGTCTTTGAATAATAATATACCTATGAAATTGCCGTTCTGCCGCACGGGCTATTTCAAGTCTATTTTTTTCTTTTTTAATAAGAATACCAAGTTCTGTTTTTTTTTTTTTTTTAAAATATGTTTTTTTTTAAATTATTCATTTGTTAGTTTGTGGTTAGCGTTCTGTTTTCAGCGCATTTGTACGTTTTTCCTCATCATGGATACGTTAAAGTTCGAGTGATTATGGTGTATGAGTACCATCGTGGCAGCAGAGCAGCAGAAGCGTAGCACGCGTTATTGGTTTCTGGAAATTTCGACCTAAGAAATAAACCTCGTGGTCGACCGAAAACTTTAGTCGACAATAGCGAATTAAAGGCGATTGTGGAAACTGATGATCCCCAATCTAAACTTAAATTAGCAGCAACTTTCGATGTTAGCATCAAAACAATATTAGACCATTTGCATCAATTTGGCAAGGTAAAAAAGCTTGGCCAGTGGGTGCCCTACGAATTGAATGATCGAGCCTTGCTCTGTTCAACAGGCACACAAACGAAGGCATACTGAATCGCATTCTTATTTGCAACGAAAAATGGATTCTGTTCGACTATCGTAAGCTCTCAGCAAGTTAGTTAGATCCTGGTTCAGCACCTAAACAATGCCCCAAACGAAAACTGACCCCCAAAAAAAGTTATGGTCACTGGGTGGAGGTCTAGCGCCGGTGTCACAGCTTCTTATCAAACGGGACAAGCATAACTGCAGATGTGTACTGTAAAGAACTGAACACAATGGAGACGCTCGCACATCTCCAACCAACTTTAGTCAATTGTTCGGCTCCGCTGCTCCTGCACGGCAACGCGTGATCTCATACTGCACATCTGACGGTCCCCAAGTGACAAGAGCTGTGGTGGGAAGTTCTCCGTCATCCACCGTACTCACCAGACCTTGCCCCTACAGTCTTCTAATTATTCCAGAATTCGGAGACTTCTTAGCGGGGCCATAATTCGATAACCGAATGCCTATGAGGAATTTGTTGCCTCTCGCCCAGCAGACTTTTTCAAAAAGCATCAATAAGCTACCATTACGTTGGCAAAAATGCATTGATTGCATGAGTAATTACTTTGATTAATAAATATAAAAAATATGGAAAATAATGCGTTAATTTATTGAATGAAAAACGGCAATTTCATATGTAAAGGCATAATACGGAGATTTTAATTTCGCTATACTTTTACGTAATAAAATGTTTATATTTCTGTAAATTCCAAAAAGTGTTTTTGTTTTTCCTGCTTTATGTGGACGTATCTCTTATAAAAAACCCGTAATTACCAAATTAATCAATCATCAAATAATTTATCGTAACGTTAATTTCGCAAAAGTTCAACATAAAATAAAATATGTAATTTGATCCGAAATAATATTGGAAAACATTTTAGCTCTTTCAATACCTACCAAACAAGTAAACAACCCGTTTATCTCCATAAAAAGACTTCCGAACGTACTATAAAACTATTCTTTTCATCAAAGACTTACATAATCACCGCCGTCGTCATCAACCAGGAGTGTATAAACTCCCCCACCCAACATCTCCAGACCAGTCGCGACCACTTTCCCGCCCGCCAGCAAATCATACTTCCCAGCGTACACTTCTATCTGCGACGATACTGTAGAGTCGATGTGCGCTTCTACCAGGCTACCCTTAATTAGGGTGAAGTTTGTCCATGTCCTGCGGGTTTTGAGGAATCTGTAATGAAAAAAATAAGCTTGTATTATTGCCTACGCAAGAAAAAATCCCTCATTATTTGAGATGTCATGTTAAGCTTCGTTGAAATTTCAAGATGTTTTGTTAAAATTGGACCATTGCATGGAAACAATTTTGCATTTAGTTAACATAACAAATTGTGTCTCTGAAGTCATTTTACAACTTGACGATATATAACAATATATTTACAGAATATAACAATACAGGGAGAAAAAAACAGCCCTTGCTGAGTTTCTTGCCGGTTCTTCTCAGTACAAGGTCTCCCGCCGTAGTTTTGCGAACCGATGGCGTAGTTTCTTGACATTCACAAGTGCTTGTAACAGCCTAGACTGAATAAATGATTTTTGATTTTTAATTAACGAGATATATTAATTCGTTTTAAAACTATTAATTTACTGTTACTTTTATATTACTTTAAATCTGAACTTAAAAAGAAAATATCTGAGTGTGCAGTAAAACGGCCGTACACTTACAATAAGTAGATAAGTTTAAAAACACTTCCTATACGCCTATAAAAAGAAATAAACAAAAAACAATGTCGCCCTTATCCAAAACAGTATTATTATAAGAGCATTATTTCTTCACAAAGCTGCAATTTTCTACGTCGTGATAACACGTAACTGAAATATTGAGACTTTCCGTAAGCGATTTGGGTCATCACGCTAAGCGAAACGATACGATAGCCTTAAACCGACCGTTTCCGCTTGCCGGACCACTTCTCGCTCCAAATTACGATCGATTCCTTTGTGTTTCTTCGATGTATTATCAGCCGAAGAATTTATCAGTCTTCACTTGAATAAGGAAACAACAGCAACGAAACGAGATCATAATTGCGAGGAGATGCTATTATTAAAAAGCGGTTAAAAACATGCAAAGTGACTTAGTCGTTTTTCAGTTGATGCCATTTTTATAAGTCGCTGTCTGTGTAGTACAGATTATACAGACGACGGGATAAATCCTCTCTTGCTAATTTTTTGCCACTTTTTAGAATTCCGTACCTCAATGGGCAAAAACTTAACCCCTGTAGGTCGATCACAGTCGATTTGCTCGGAATCTACTGAACCAATCAAATATAAATTTGGCACATTTATGTCATGTATGTCTGTGACCTAAACATGGCGAATAAACTAAATAAATAAATTTCAAATATTGGATTGTGTATGTGGGTTACTTTTGGGGGGTGAATTAGAAAATTATATATTAAAAGGCTAACTTTACCGTGTTATATGTATATCTAATGAAAGGGCTCAATGTGAAGGTTTCAAAAATATTTTTACAAATTTAAAATGTATATGTATAATATATTTAAAATAGTTTCAAAATTACTGAAGACATTAGACGAAAATTAACCTGTCCCCCTCACCCTTATCTCCGAAACTACAGCGTCAAAAAAAATATGTATAGTAGCTTTTTGCTTGTAGATTACGAGAAAACCTATAACAAGTTCATAGCTTACTATGAATATACTAGTACGAAACCCTTCGTGCACAAGTGTGACCCGCACATGGCCGGATATTTCTGTGACTGCCCCAGATGGTTTAACTCCTCATTTCATTCAAAAGTTCAAACCAGTGCTTTCTCATCTTAAATTGTACCTATGTAAGATGTGTAGGCCGATAAGTAAAACTATTTCTTGGTATTGATAAAAGCCAAAAGCTTCCAATTTTATTTATAAGAGTGTCTCGAGTGAAAAGCGAGTTTTTGGAATCAGCTCTTTGTGGTTTAAGCATTATTATCTCCATTTACAAGAAAGGGCTTGCCATTGAGAAAAAAAAACAACATTAAGTATTTGGTTGTTGAGAAGGTTGAAATCGTAAGTACGTCACATAACAAGAACATGAAACTCGGCAAAAGATATAACGAAAATATCTGATTACACAATAAAACAGTGAGTAATTTTCCTTGAACATCATCGTAAAGAGAGAATATTTATGGTTTAACGAGTTTTATGTGACACCAATGAATTGTGTGCCCCTTTCAAGTTACGAAATTCGTACCTGACAACGTGCAAAATTCTGTATTTTACCTAAACTTAAGTTCTTTTTATAGGATCATTAAATAGGGTATTTGACAGTATTAAAAATAAAGTGCCAATTGTTAGCATCTGTATTTAAAATGAATATTGGCAGGAGTTTTTACTATTTTTACAGAAAAAATATTCATAATTTTACTAAAAATCCGTGATAAAGATAATAGTTTTCTTCTTGTTGATGGTCACGTGAGCCAAAACACTTTCCACTTCCACTTCCACTTTGGGTATTATGGCTCCACCGTTAGGGTGCGGCCAGAGTGCACTCAGATTCAGATTCAGATTCAGATTTCGAAAACAAGCGCGAGAAATAAACTGTGTAGTCGAAGGGTACGGCCAGAGTGCACTCGTGATTCAGATTCAGATTCAGACTCAGAAAACAAAGCGCGAGAAAAAGCAGGCAACCTGCTTAGACTACACTGTTTATTTCTCGCGCTTGTTTTCAGAATCTGAATCTGACTCTGAATCTGAGTGCACTCTGGCCGCACCCTTATGCACGATGATTCTGCCAATGTCAGGGTTAAGAAGAGCACTGTTATATCGGTACTCTTCTTTGTACGGTGTGGTAGCCTGGTTTCCTCGTGGAGCTATCGCGTGGAGTTGAGATTCTAGAATAGGACAACACATATATCATCACAAGCGGACATGTACCCAAGCATACAAATTGTTAGTGTCTTTATTAGTGTAGTAAAGCATTGGAATTGGATTGTAAGAGATGACACGGCAAAGTATATAAATAGTTTGGACATCATAAGACAATGTTGTTAGCCTTTATAAACTTTCCTAGTACTTTAATAAAGGGTGAATTGACCTGCGTTAATAGGAACGGAATATTTACTGGTCTTGGGATATTTTTAGGTAATAGGTCATATAAATGTACCTGGATATTCAGACATCTAAAGAATATGTGTTCCACGGTGCCATCCTCTAGTCCACACTCACACAAGGAGTGGTCCCGAATACGGAGTTTAGCAAGGAAAACTGGTGTATTTACGTGTCCCAGGCGTAGCCTGGTTATTATAGAAGTGATGAATTTATTCATGTTGCGCTGGCGGAAGAACCAGGGTTTACGTGGAATATCAGGTTGTAAGTTGCCGTAATATATACCCTTAACAGTTCAGGACTGTTGCCAGAGAGTCCCATGATTTATAAATCTGAGGTCTTGCCAATGTACGAAGATCGCGGGGGTAGCATCTGTAATATGTCAGGCTTCCATTTTGAGTTGCTTCTTTTGCAAAAAGGTCAGCTGTTTCATTGCCAATGATACCCCTGTGGCCCGGAATCCAGGCTAAAATCAACTCAATGCCAGCCGATGCGCACCTCGCCAGCGCGTCTTTGGTTTGTAAGGTAATGTAAAAATTATATCTGGAGTGGAATGGTAGTTTTTGTATGTCCTGCAAGCAGCTGAGCGAGTCCGTGAATATAATGCATTTATTTATCTTGTGAGATTCTGCTTACAGTACTGCTTGAGAGGGACATTTGAAGTTTAATAAGATTTTGTATTTAGGGATCCACACAGCTGATCCAACGTTGCTGTCATCAGATAGTTTTGAAGCATCAGTGAAGATATGGAGCCATTCATTCCAGTTTTGTGTTAGAATGTTATTGAACTTTTCGTTAGCATTTGCGGTGTTTCTGTCGATCCCAGTGTTAAGCAAGATTTTGGGTTGGTAAATAAGCAATTTGTAATTGATTTCGAAAATTGGATTTTTTCCTGTTTGGTGTATAGTAGGTAAGTTGGATAACTTGTTTAAGCTTTTTATTAATGCTGGAGGACCTTATGGTTCCAAAAAAACACTTTGGATTGGTGCAGCCTAAAATGACAAGTAAACTTCTGGGTAAGTGACATTTGATTGTATGGTTTGATGTTTTAATGACAGTCGTGTGACGTCACACATCAGTGAGCCGCCATATTGTCCAGAGATACGTTTTCCGCGGCAACTTGCAAATAGAGTTTCTGAATTCGTTTTTTTACCGAAATACACAATATAATGATGAATATCCTTTTTATGGACTCTATAAACATATTAGTGAATAACGTGAGATCGTTTTCTAAAACTTGTCAAATACCCTATTATTAGGTAAATATAGTAAAATCGATTGAAAATTAGGGTGCTTTTTCGATATTAAGTCAAAATATGGTGAAAAAATGAATATTTTAAATCAAAAAAAATACTGTATATTTGGCACATACAAAGGTAAGTTTCACTAAATTTCGTGAAAAAATATTTTTTTTTGCAAAAAATAAAAAACCAAAAACTCGGTTATTCGAATTTTTCACATAAATTTTGAGGTTATGTGAAAAAAGTGTCGATACAAAAGTTGTAGATCTTTTTATTACCTTCAACTTTTCCATTTACCTTTTTTTCATAGGACTTGCAGTTTTACCGAAAGAGAGAGAGATTAACCGTTTTTTACCCTTAAAAACTCACCCCCTCCCTCTTTCCGACCTCAGATCGTCCGTAATTTATTTTTACTTTAATTTTTGTTATATTCTCTACCTTTTCCAATGGGTTTCATCCTACTATAATTTTTTTGGTCTCAAAAATTATCGTCTTATAATAAAAAGACGCATTTTAAATTCAATTAATTTACACAGTATACACATAAATAACTTACCTAACAACAGGAAGCCCAGATCTGCTTTTGTCAACATTATCCGTGAAATTGTTGATTTCTTCTCCGTCAAAAAAGAATGACATGGCCTTATTTTCTTCGAGAAATAATGACTCTTTCCTTCTATCGATACAACTGCCGCTTATATCGAACACTATATTTTCCGATTTAGTAATTCTTATATCTTTATTGCTATACTTCATAAGCGGTGGAATCACGGTCGTAATGTTTAAAGATGAACCGTGTATCGATATAGAACAGTTATTCCCATTAAAGATCCTCATTTGGGAGAAACCCGACCGCGGGAGTTGCGGGTAAGTGTTCTGTAATGTTTATAATAATACATATTGATAAACCCATTTTTATTAAGTAGATTCATTCAGTGGGGTGGCAGGGTAGCATAGTATGGATATTATTACTAATATTGTAAATGTAATAGTTACCCTGTCTACCTATCTTTCCATATGTCAGTCTGCTTAGTACCTACACTCACGTGGGCCACCGCCTACGGCATCGCGGTACAAGGGGGGCCTCGCGCCTCAAAAATTTTTATGCATTGCTTAAAAGCGTTTTTTGAAGTTATACTTCTTTAGGCGCGTTATGAAAAAATGATTAGAGTGAAATTTTAAGATGCGCGCGCATCACTGTAAAAAATTAACAGCATGAAGTTGGTCGCTTTAGCGAGTATTTATTAATCTGGAACAACGGAACCAAAGCGCGATTCAGGAGACTACAGCGTCATCTCTTGACCATTGGTGTAGTAGAACCAAAAACCACATCTTTATTTTTTGTAATAAAGTAACAGTTATAGGTATTCATATTTATAATATTTATCCACATGTTTCTAGTTTGTATATTCGGAATACGTGTTTGAGTTTCATACAAGTGCAAATCACATATGTTCTAATAAATTATATTCAGTAGCGATTTTAATTGAATATTTTGATTATTTATTTATTTTTTCAAATTAAAACTGAACTTTATTGACTGTGTTCTTTTCTAGACTTTTTATTAATTTATTGTAATTAATTATTTGCATGCAATTAAAAACTAATTTTAAACGATGCCAAAGAAGGATAACTTCTCACGCGGCTACATAAGTACACGCGCCCAATTTTTTTTTATAAAATCCGTCTTCAGGTCGCCACAGAACAGGGCCTCGCGAAATCTGTCTTGCCCACATCAAATTTAGGTCTTGCCCCGCCACTGCACTGAACAAGTCACAATCACTCCGTTTTAACTACGTTTTCTTGCCTAAACGGCTAAAATGATTCTATTTAATTTTGGTATTAAGATATAAAGAATTTAACAAGCTACTATTTGCCACGAAAATTTTACTTCGAGGAGATTAAATATATAGTATATGGGGCAATATTGGAGCAATTTTTACTTAATAAATGTATGTCCATCAATCAACTTACACTAATGTAGATTTCAACGACCCCGGCTACTATGAACGAAAGCGCGGCCAACAACATACCCAGCGATAACTTCTGTAATGGGTTCTTAAGAATGTTCCTCTTCTCCAAATATGGATAAATGTACTGAAACAAGCAATAAAAATACACGTCTAGTAGTCTTTTCTCAATCAAATCGTTTCATAATAGTCGCCAGGATTGAATAAGAAGAAAACAGGTTCGTTAGCGCTTAGCAATGCTATGAATAGCCGACGTTCATCAAGCGAGCATAGTTAGATATTACGCTTTTGAATTTTGGTATATAAAGAATACAATTTGGCAAGCTCTCGCTGTGTTAATAGAATGCCTTCGGGATTAAATACCTATTCTCGATAAATAAAACTAGTTTTTACGGGTTAATGCACGAAATATATTTATTTATTGACGTTTCGCAGCCTTTTCAGGTCTGCATCGTCAGAATAATGATTTAAAAAAAAACATTATTCTGACGATGCAGACCTGAAAAGGCTGCGAAACGTCAATAAATAAATTTCGTGCATTAACCTGTCAAAACTATTATTTATTTATGTTTTAACTTAATATATGTTTTATTTAATGAGTGATGTGCGTGAAAACCTAAGAAACAAATACCTATTTTCGAGTTATTTTAAAGATCGTAATAAGCTGATTAATTTTGAATTTGATTAAAATTAGTAAGGCACCTCGTGAACAAGACGGCCACGATCACGACCAGTGGCCGCGACGACCAGATTAACTAAAGTAGTCCGTTGCGGCCAAGTACGCGACATTCGTATGGTTTTTTAATTAATCTGATCGTGGCGGCCATTGACCGTGGTCGTGGCCGTCTAGTGGACGAGGTGCCTAAGCAGTTACAATTATCAGAATAGAAAGGACACAGAGGATCTTCCACTGGAATTTAAGCACCCATATGGAGAAGCAATCTTCATCTTACACAATATCGCAGTGATAACACGCCAGACCTTGCTTAAAAAAATATTTTGGTGGACTTGATAAAATTTCCAGATTTCTGCAAAAAAAAATATTGGTTCCAGGTAGACAAAGCACGACTGATACTTTTGGTATCACAAGCGTTTACGCTTACGCGACAAGCACGTTAATGACCTACTTACAAGTAACAAAACTTAATGAAATTATACTTACCTTTTGTGTTAGAGGTATTACTATGAGGATTATGATCGGGCACAGCACTTGCAACTGATCCGGCTTTATGGTGATGGAGCCCAACCTGCCGTCCATCTTTGTGGCTTGCAGGGTCCAGCGGGAGCCCTAAAATAATCACCTTATAAGCACCAGGCATCTGTGAAATCCAGAAATGCTCAAACTCTTCATACTTATGTTTACCATAATGTAAAGAACCTGCCAATTTTAGGAGATAATCAACAACATCGATGTATTTTAAATAAGGTGAGATGAAGTTATTATAATATCCTTGTATGAAAAAGCAATCTAGCAACTTAGGCCCGTAATATAGAAAGATTCTCAGTGATTGATGCAGTCTTGAGAACAGTTAGAAAGGGATGTCGCTGTATATAGCACATAGTGACATCCTTTTCTTACTGTCCTCAAGTAAAGTTGAACACTTCGTTGACATTCTGTAATACGGGCCTTAGTCTCATAATTTGGCGTTTTGCTCATACAATATTAAATAAGACATAGCTAGATAAGTTAGTCAAAGTCGCTTATCAAATCTTCATTGGAAATCTATATAATGTAGGTATTTGATGTTGGTAGCAAATAAATTTTCTTTATAAAGTAGCCGCACAAAAGAAGCCTAAGTATAAACTGAAATATTGAAAGCCCCAATTCCACTAAAGAGATGTAATTTTCCGCTACCATAGAGGTTCTAGTGTCTTACAATACATCTGCATATACTTAGTTTTAATTGAATTAATTGTACGATCCAAGTTATTTGAACAATTCAAATTCTACTAAACCTCTTCTATGTGGAATCCCAAGACTTGGACTGGATGTCCAAGTCCGGTGACTAAATCGGATAGACTGTAACACTAAAGTCATGTTTATTTGTTTACGAAACATTTGAGTGAGTACGAAACGTTTGACCACGATCGCATTGTATATTAAATAACGATCTCTTAACTGAAATACACAGACTCAAATAAGGGAATACACAGACTCAAATAAGGAAATACACAGACTCAAATAAGGTCATCGCGCATCATGAGCCTTACTTTGAAATTAAAATATCGATGTTATACGTATCGAAGCACAATACCACGGGAATGGAATTCCATTATTCCCTTGCAGTTTCCATAATGACGAAACGCAGTGGAGGGCTCGTATGATCTTATAAAAGAAATTAATGGATAAAACTTAACATAAAAATAATTTTAATTACAGGTGTGAAATAGTTCACAATTTATTTCAGGAGCTCGGTGAGGCAGTGGTTGGCTGTTAGCGTGTTCGGTCTGCGATCGTAGAGGTTAAGCAATTTTCGCAATGGCCGGCCTTAGGATGGGTCACCAAAAATTTATTGTCACGAGCTCCTTGTTGCTTCGGAAGTCATGGTTAGTCGTTTGTCCCTGCAACATCTGAAGTCATTAGCAACCACCAATCCGCAAAGATCCCGTTTAGTGGGTCAACACCTATTCTCCCTATCCCATCAAAGCTATATCATAGTGGACTGTACCCCAGCATCTGATGATGAGGCACTAATTACAAGTAAAGTAAAATTACCATTTGATCCAATAACGACCAAAACACTGGCAACACTGAGAAGAGGGCGAGTACAGACAACGTCTTCTTGATGTCCCTAATAAACAATTTGTCGAAATGGTTCTCCGTGGTATTCAGCCAATGAGTGTTTTTCTCCCGTTTTCCTCTGCCCGTGATTATATTTTTGATGCCTAACTGTAAAAGAAATGTTTTTATATTCGCCATGCACTAATTTTATTCCACGTTTATCATAATTTTTTCCTAACTCCGTCTCCTCCGTCGAAAGAAAAACGTATTTAACTTACTTTCCCACGAAAACACTACAAGAATATCCAACAAAATATATACAATGTCACGTTGTTGAAGTGTTAAAAACGGAAAGAAGTTTGTATAGTAAGTCGGCAGAGACGATATCGCGGGCATACACTAGTTTATAGTAAATTATAACCGGTATATAGCCTTTTTATGAGGAACCTTATTTTTGATGATAAACGAACAATACGTGATAACGTAATATTAGGGGAGCCCAAGCAGGGATTTTTGGATTTACTCGAGCGCGGCAGAATAAGATATTGGGAGCAACCTTGCACCTAGTTAAGTACTCCCATCTTACCTTAGCTCTCTATGTAGGGCCGAACGTCTAGGGCAGCAAAAACAAAATTTCAACTAACGGCCATAACTTTTGGTCGGGTCCAAATCGTCACTCTTTTGAATAGGAGCTACTGGAGGGTTCACGTAACATCCCTTCTCAATCTAAAGAAAAGTTATACTAGAAAACAGTAGTAAAGCTTTTCTTTGGATTTAAAAATCTAGCAGTTAAACGCTTAAAAAAAAATAAAACATAATCCCTTCTCAATGTCTAACGCTCGGTTATTTTTTCCTATATTCTACCCCTTCGTACGGCCACCCCCATATCATGCAAACCGCGGCAGATCAATATTTTTCCGTTCTTAGAAACGTTACATGAACCCTCTAGTAGCTTATATTCAAAAGACTGACGATTTGAAGCCAAACAAAAGTTATGGCCGTTACTTGAAATTTTGTTTTTGCTGCCCTAGACGTTCGGCCCTACATAGAGGGATCAGGTATGGTACTTAACTAGGTGCAAGGTTGCTCCCCATATGTTATTTTGCCGCGCTCGAGTAAATCCAAAAATCCCCGCTCGGGCTCCCCTACTACCTAATAACCAAAAAGCGAGACTACGAGGTGTACGGGAACAACGTGACATATTATTATGTACAATAACATACAGACAAGAAAGTAAAGACAAATTTTCTCTAAATTTGTGTATGTTACATGCTCACGAATAACTGAAATATGCTTTCAGATATTACGCGTATATATAACCTTACAGATATAAAATATAATTTAACCAATCTATTTTCACTAATGAAAACTAATTACTTACTGAAATACATCTCATGAAATCCAAGACAACATTACCCTCTGGCTGCTTTATAATATAACGGCTTTTTGCACTGACGAATATAACTGAAACAGAAGTTTTCCTTTATATGATATTTAATAAGTTAAATATCATCTCCGTCTAAAATAGACATATAGGTGCATGCTTTGATCCCTAAAAATACTTGTGTGGAACAATCAATTGAATTAATGTTCGTTATGACGAATGGTATCTGATTCACTGTGTTTATTAAATAACATTGGATAACAATCCCAGAATAGGATGAAAAAAAAATACATACGTCAAGATTCAATAAATAAGTAAACATTAAAGGAACTCAACCGTCTGACTTTAATTATATCTTTTTCCAAAAGTTTTATATAAGCACTCGTAGAAGAAATAATTATCAGGAATAATTAATAAAATGAATAAACTAGGTATACCTACGCGTTTCATTACCTTTTGAAAAAGTTGGAGACCTCTTAGACAGATAAGTGTTATGTCTCGTAATTATTGAGAAAATAAATTGCTTTCCTTATTATTATTATTATGATTCTATTTCCGTATATAAATATTTAGCATTCGTATTCGTATATCATTTCAATATCAAAACTATTCCGTTACGTTATCATTTCGTGATATAATGATAAAACACAAATAGAACCACCTTTACTGGTAACATTCAAAGCGAGCGATTTAATATTAGTTCACTGTTTTCCTACAGTAATTATAATTAAAGTTTATTTACGTTTGCTGAAGTAGATATACACTATGATGTAGATACAACGTCACTGTTATCATTTACTCTCGACATCTTGTGTAAATTTTAAACGATTGAAAGTACAGAGAGATACCACAAATTGTAAATTTTCTCAACAGATTGTAATTTTTACATCAACGAACATAGCTAGGGAACTGGTGGCTATTTAGGTATACGATTTCATCATTGTTGATACCAAGATGTAATGTATGTAGTCTGCACCTATGTTAACTAGAAAAAATAAGTGGCGAGCTTAGGTAGCTCTGTTTTTGTTTCTAAGTAATTTTGAAAGTGTTTAAAAAAACATGTCTAAAATTATATTATCGTTTCTGTTGACAATTATATTTATAAAATACATTTTATAGATAGTGAAATTATAGCTGGCAGTACCCCTAGCACGAACCAACATCGAAACCGTATCGTTTGCGAGTCCGAAATGTCATTGTCAAATGTGTACTGATTTTTAGTTCTCTTTACGTATTTTGTGCCGCTGCTGTTCAAGTTTCCATACAAGATTTGACATTGACATTTCGGTTTGCAAACTATTCGAATTCGGTAATATTTCGTGCTAGGGGTACTGAAGTCAAGATGGTGTTTTAAATTTAAACTTCAATAAATATTAAAATGTAAAAAAAATAGTTGGTACTAATTATGATCATTCCATCGTCTTTTCAAAAAAATTTTTTTAATGTTTTATAGAGTATTCGTAAATGTAACAAAATGGTGGCAGACAATTCTGATTTCGTTCGGAGCGTTTACTTCGGAACATCTATATTTCTCTTTTTCTCTCCGTGGCTTTCATTCCCGGTTTTAAACCACCTATTCTTTCTAGCTTTCATTTCCATGCGAATAAATATAATATACACAAATAATATTAGTGAGAGAGTGTATTTGTGGGGTACACATATTTTGCAGCTGTAATCAGATAATAAAATAATTGTGCCTTCGAAAAGACATTTGATTGATTGAAGATTGACAATAGATTTTTTCTGCCTTTTTCATTGTTATGCTTCTCGTAACTAATAGAAATAGTAGACTTGCAGGTAAAGGTAGAAACGATCTTATAATTTATTATTATTATTATTTTACATTTTTTCAACAATACAGATTATTAATGACACATTATCATAGTGGTGGAAGTTTTTTTATCATCTATACTTATAATAAATCTGTAGAGATGTCAATTCTGTACATGAAATATATTTTTAAAATAACTATCAGGGGGTGATAAGTGATCGATACTGATGCCAAAAATGCAATCAGTAAATTTTTTGTCTGTCTGTCTGTCTGTCTGTCTGTGTGTATGTTCCTTATAGAAACCAAAACTACTCGACGGATTTTAACGAAACTTGGTACAATTATTCTTCATACTCCTGGGCAGGTTATAGTATACTTTTCATCACGCTACAATCAATAGGAGCAGAGTAGTGAAGGGAAATGTTGGGAAAACGGGAGAAGTTACTCCATTTTTTAAGCTACCGTCGCGTGTGCAGCCTTAATGATTAAAGTTACATAGAAACCATGTATGACGGAAATATTCTACATAAAATTGTCTAAAAAATATCCCGCAACAGCATATGTCTATCTTTTATGGTTGACTCACAATAACACGTGTAACTCCCTATAGCTAAGCAGTTCGGAGCATTCTGATCATATTTGTTTACTCTTACGTTTATAATACTCTGACTCATCCCTAATTTAAAAAAGTTAACATTATTACCTATTCAATAAAAACAAAACATAGAAATCGGTATAGAAACACCAAACTTATACATGAAATAAGCCATCGCGCCGTCGCACGTGAATACTGAATCATGCTATAAGGATTATTTTTGTGTAACGGTTGCCGCGCTCGACACAGGTCGCGGCGGCGCACAGTGGGTGAAAAAAAAGAGGTCCCCTTTCATAGGATTTTTGAAAAAATAAAAATGTTTATTATCCGTTTAAGGTATGCGGTTTTATTGGACATATCAGTACATTGAATAATAAAATAGTTTGGGGAATTTCCTTTTAATCTAACACCATAAAGCACGGGCTTTAGAGTTTCAAATGTATGAAAACGGAATTTGTTTTGCTCATAACTTGTATCGGTCTTCTACGGTCAAGCTGAAACTTATAGGGATTATTACCGGGTCTGTTACGAAGCCATGTGACCTTTGACCTTCACCCCGGACGGCCCCGTTCAAAAGATACGAATTTTTCAAAATGCTTATTAGGGTAATTTTGCTTTACGGGGTTATGTGTCTCAATAAACAGTTTGTTTATGTTTCTTGCCCAGCATTTAGTTATTAATATAACACAGATTATTATCTAATAAAACTACACAGTAGATAACGCCACCATACAACTTAACTTTAAATAAAAGCGTCCTAATTCAAAAGATATGGAATTAATATAAATAGATAAAAGAAATAGTTTTAAGAAAAAGAAAACAAGAATACAATATTGTAAAGAATTACAATGAAGTCGTTTACAGCCTACAATTTAATCTTTTGTTTGACAATCGCTTAAAAGCCGCGCGCCATTAACGAGAGCATCATTACATATAAACAATACAAACTCTATTGTTGCAGGTTTTGAGGAATTCAAAGGGTTACCCACAGTCATTACCTGCCGTTGTTTGCCTATAATAATTAATTTTGTCAAACAAACATACTTACACTTACAATGTCTATCTAAGAAAGGGTTTGATCAAATATGTTTATTTTGGGATACCTAGAACTTTAACTGACTAAGCTTAAAATGAACAAAGTGTTTTTCCAGATAAACTAGCTGGTTATTAATATTAGTAAATGTAGTAAGGGAGATTCTGATATGTTACTGCCAAACGAGAAAATAAACTATTTACATTATGAATAAAACAAAATTATTAACATCAATATTTTTATTTACAAAACTTAAATTACTAACTAAGTTTGATATCATAAATTAAATAATGCATAATAAGGAAGCCACAACTGTATAAATTACTACACACATACAAGCTAAAGTATAAAAGATTAGTAGAACTCAAATTGGCTACAACAATTCTTAAATATGTAAACTGTTTATATTAATATGATACAAAGATACAAAAAAATAAAAATACAAAGTTTGATATAATTTGATTTGAGGGAAAGAACACATACTAATCAAAGTCATAATCAGATACATTACCTACATCTACAAACTCTATATTTTCCTGATCTTTACAAGAAGTTAATAATAATGATTTAGCTTCATTTGTGAGAGGTTTATTTCGTTGACATATTTTAGGCCTGAAACTTGATAGGTATGGGTCAGACGATATTAACAAATTATTGATAATATCTTCATTTGTTGCAATCCTGCTAGATTTACGCGAGTGGAAGGTTCTGAAGTTTTTAAAATCTTCAGAGGCCTCTTCAGAGAGCTTGCCGATTGGTATAAAGTTATTGTGCTCTATTATATCGGCACCATGAATGAGTAATTTATGCACGCTTGAGGGCATATAATACCATTCATAGAGCTCGACATATTTGCGTGCTGTAGCAGCACAATATTGGCGGAATTTTTCCACGTTCACAAACTCTCCACATGAGATAGCCTGAAGAATCACTCCAAATCTTCTAACGAGTTCTTCATCAACACCCGTTATTTGAGCAGTAATTTGAGGATTAACAAAAAATCTTCTTGCTGTGTCTCCATCGTTGCTTGTACCAGCCCCTTGTTTAACAACGTCCACAAGTAGCCCCGTTTCAGTCCGGAATTGTTCTTGAATAGCCTTTTTTCTTTGGCTTAACTGTTGCTTCAAATCTTCGCCCTTAGCTTGCCATTTCTTGAAGTCGAGACGGTAAGCAATATGTAAGATACATTCCATGCATCTAATTCGTGCATGGAGGGAAGACAGACCGAACTTAAACATATCTACAGACTGGGTTCTCTGAGTAACCTTGTCGATATCATTCATTTCTTTTGGTTTTGCTTTGCATATATCGCATGTAGCTGTGGATGTATCTGATAAATGTGAAGTTATTTTACCATCAATCATCGTCATATGCAGAACGTGTTTTACATTTGCACCATCGATAACAGTTGGATGTAGAGCAGCAATTTCCGTATCAATTGAAGTCATTTCTTCTTTAACATTCAAATCGTTCTCTTTAGCAAACTTAAAATAAATGGGTCGACAGTAAAACGTTGAAGACGCTTTGGGGTTTTCCCATATTATTTCATCAGTACCATCTCTCACCAGTTTTAACGGCATAAATGAACACATGAAGATGCTTGAATCATCGCCGTCAATTTTTTGTTGGTAGTTGCTTTGCCCAGATGCACCGTCAAACCCCCATTTACTGATAAGAGTCGAATTACTGCCAGTTAAATCAGTTTCCAGAGTTTTTAATAGTCTCTTGACCGTAATATCTAAAATAGACTGAAGTTTAAGTTTAACTTCAGTCTCAGTTATTACCATGTCTTCTTTTTCAACGTAGCACTCCTTCTTCTCTTGCTTCAAAGCATCATACGATGGAAGTATATCACACCCCATGTCTCTCATTGTCTGCCTCAATGTAATATACTGCCATTTCGATAATTTCAGTGATGTTGAAATACCGAGTGCCTTATCGGTATGACAAGTTCGTTTCGTCGATTTCAGGCAGGCTCGCAGCATTGGCGCATCTTCAGGCTTTTTAATCAAATGCTTCACTAATACTACAAAGTCCGTTTGGTTTTCATTTTCCGCTTTCCTAGCCAGGGCATAAGCAAGTGTCTCAAAATCGTTTTCGGCAATGAGATTTTCAGTTCTTCTTCTTTTTTGCAGTGGACTCAAATTGGCAAATTCTTTTCGAGGACTAAATGTAGCGGTTGATGTCGACGCAGCCACACTATGAGGAACAGTGCATTCCGTTGATAAACTAGGTCTTGTTACTGTTGAAATACTTGTTGAAGGATCTTCAAAACTCGTCATAATATTTGATTGTTCTTCAGTTATGTCTAGTGAAACAAACTCTGGCCATTTTATTTCTTGGTCCAACCAGTCAGCAAACTTCTTTATAAAATTCCCTTGTGTGTAATTAGCTGACTTCCATTTGCGTTTAAGATTACTCGTATATGTAGCACAAAACGTTTTAAGAGTTGTCTTTTGTTCTTCAGATAATGAAAATCTCACTGAATCGAGTACTTTTTGAAATAACATGTCGGCACTAAAAGATTTTTGCCTCATATATATATATATACGTCGAGATTAGACACACGCCCTTCCATTCTGAGCAACTTAAAATTTGAGTAAAGAGAACGTTACGGTACGAATCAATAATGATAAGTGAAATGAAATACAGGTGTACTCCGTATTTATTATAATCGAAGTCATTGTTGAATAATAATAATAACAACGTATTATTTATTCACCTACCCACAATAAAAGCAAATAATCAGTAATTATTATAGGCAAACAACGGCAGGTAATGACTGTGGGTAACCCTTTGAATTCCTCAAAACCTGCAACAATAGAGTTTGTATTGTTTATATGTAATGATGCTCTCGTTAATGGCGCGCGGCTTTTAAGCGATTGTCAAACAAAAGATTAAATTGTAGGCTGTAAAGGACTTCATTGTAATTCTTTACAATATTGTATTCTTGTTTTCTTTTTCTTAAAACTATTTCTTTTATCTATTTATATTAATTCCATATCTTTTGAATAAGGACGCTTTTATTTAAAGTTAAGTTGTATGGTGTCGTTATCTATATATATATGTATAGTTTTATTACATAATAATCTGCGCTGTATTAATAACTAAATGCTGGGCAAGAAACATAAACAAACTGTTTATTGAGACACATAACCCCGTAAAGCAAAATTACCCTAATAAGCATTTTGAAAAATTCGTATCTTTTGAACGGGGCCGTCCGGGGTGAAGGTCAAAGGTCACATGGCTTCGTAACAGACCCGGTAATAATCCCTATTAGTTTCAGCTTGACCGTAGAAGACCGAGACAAGTTATGAGCAAAACAAATTCCGTTTTCATACATTTGAAACTCTAAAGCCCGTGCTTTATGGTGTTAGATTAAAAGGAAATTCCCCAAACTATTTTATTATTCAATGTACTGATATGTCCAATAAAACCGCATACCTTAAACGGATAATATACATTTTTATTTTTTCTCTTTTTTTCACCCACTGTGCGGCGGTAGGGTATCAAAATACGGGAGGTCCGAGAGCGAGCTGTCTAAATCTGTTCTCTGCGTCGGGAGGAAACAAAAAAAATAAAAAAAGAGAGCGAGCGAGCTTCAATATTTGGCTGTTGATGCGTTCAGAGCGTTCGACCTTATTGACAGACAATAATTGAGAAATATTGAGTAACCGTGCTTATCAGCGCGACTTTTAGTCTTTAAATAGTTTATTTAAATTTCTTTTGTTGTTATTTTGTAAAATAAACATTAGTTGTTTTGGTAGTGTTTAAATATTCGTTCAAAGTGTAATTTAATCATATAGGATGAATGTACGATGGCCCATCGAAAAGGAGTAGAAGCGGTAGATAGAACTTTAATGGATATAAGACAAAATGATCGACCAATGGGCGGTATCACAGTTTTATTTTGTGGTGATTTCCGACAAACCTTACCGGTAATACCACGGGGAACCCGAGCTGATGAGGTTAGGGCTTGCCTGAAAAGTTCTTATTTGTGGCGTGATATACAATCGGTGCATTTGACTATAAACATGCGAGTGAGAACTGTAGATAACCCGGATGATCGTGAATTTTCTGATATATTATTAAAGAAAATACCTTCACCAAAGATACCTATCCACTGCTACACCAAGGAAAACTTATTCTGACGCCTGAGTTGTGTTGTATAGTGCAATCCCAACAACATATAACATCGTCAGTTTACGGTGACGTAACAAATATTTTAAATAAGGATAATTCTTGGCTATGCGAAAGGTCCATTTTAACTCCTCGCAATGACCAGGCATCTGAGATTAATAATAAAATACTGTCGAATATCCAGGGGGAAAGCAAAGTTTATAGTTCTATAAATAGAATGGCCGATGAACAAGAAGCCACTAACTACCCGATAGAATTTTTAAATTCTTTAAATATGCCCGGACTTCCTTCTCATGAAATTTGTTTAAAAATTGGCATTCCGATTATTCTGCTCCGAAATTTAAGACCACCACAAATTTGCAATGGAACTCGGCTTAAAGTAACCCAGTTGCAACAAAATGTAATCGAGGCTCAAATTTTAACAGGTTGCGGTGCAGGAGAAACCATCTTTATTCCCAGAATTCCCATAATACCAAATAATTTTCCATTCCAATTTAAAAGAACGCAATTCCCAGTATCGGTGTGTTATGCAATGACAATAAATAAGGCTCAAGGGCAGACTATTCGTGTTGCTGGAGTAGATCTCGGTGTCAGTTGTTTTCACATGGTCAGTTATGTCGCTCTTTCCCGGGTTAGCAGTCCTAGAAATTTTTATGTTCACGTGCCGGATGGGTCAACTTTCAACGTAGTTTACCCGGAAGCTTTGCGCTGAAGTATTTTCATTCTATATGTACCTAAGCCTCATGTGAAAGCGATCTAAATAATATTACCAATACATTAACATAATAACATACAAGGAGTTACATGCTGATGGTCTCGGGGCACAGTGATAATAATAATATTCTGCGGTTCCTTATTGCGATATTTTTAACAGTATTGTGGATTGACATATTATATTTCCCTACTAAAATACGAAAGTTAATCTGTCTGTCACATCAAAACCACGGAACCCTGAGGAAGGACATATGCTACTTTTTTACGAAAAACGACGAAAACGCGGACGAAGTCGCGGGCAAAAGCTAGTTTTTAATATAATTTCAATAATTATTGTCGATGAAGTAATTTCTTTTTTTATATACCATAATAATTAAGAGAGAGAAAAGTTAGAACTCTAAAACACAACAGGTAAAACTTCTGCCACTAGCATTATACATATATTTTTTATATTAAATACAATGTATTAAGGCTATGGACAGAAGCGTTTATGACACTTATTTTTATTAACATTTTTCGTTAGCTCCTATTTGGTTATCAAATTAATGGCAGAAATTGTTTGAATTTATGGTTTTACTTAAAACTCTAATATTATCAAACTCTGCCAGACGATAGTATGGTAAAAAGTCTCTGGCAGACCCCAAATATTTATAAGATAATTAACTTACTATTAACACTTAATTGTAAATCGTTTACTAAAAATTAGAAATTATTTTATATCCGTTTTTTAAATATTTTTTATAATATAAAACTTTACAATTATTGAATGGCAAATGGAAAGTTTATTTATCTTTTATTCTGTTGCCAAAACATCAAATATATTCTATTCGATAGACAACTAAAGCAGTGATAATTATTGTGTTCATTTTTCATTATATTATTAGGTATTTTCTGGGTGTTTTATTTCAAGAAGAAATCAATCATAAATTGGTACAATAAGATCACCACGATTTCACGAATATTATTTAAGACTAGCTGTGCCCCGCGACGTTACCCGCGGTTTATTAGGGATGTTTTCCCGCAGTAAAACGTTAGCCTATGTGTTAATCCAGGGTGTCAGATAACTCCATACCAAATTTTATTACAATCGCTCCAGCCGTTTAGACGTGAAGAAGTAACAAACATACACACTCACAAACTTTCGCCTTTATATTAGTGTGATTAGACTGATTGTCATTTGTCATAGTGATTAAGTTAACGTTTTAAGCTGCCACCATGTTGCCACACACAAAAATATGACGTTACTTATGACAAGGTAGCGCAAAGATTTTAAGCGTTGCCAGCATCCTTACAAATTGTTTCAATTTTAAAATTATCGCGGATACATAAAAAGAAGTATCTGTTCATGTTATAATATAAGACAAGCTTTTAAATAATATTATGTTTCGTCGATGTCAGAGACCGACTTTCACTTTAGAACCATCTCTTTTTCATCACATTTTCAAATATTGGGTACCTAACAACTGCGATCTAATGTTACTAAGAGACACTGTACCAGTGAAAGAATAATTAGAAAAATGTATGTTACACACTCACCCACAGACATTAAAATAACTAGACCGGGCGCTCCGAATGCTAATGAGTAGCAATCTTTATCGCCAAAACAGTGCACCTCCGATCTCAATATTGGCGATACTGTTTTAGCCAGTAAGCTTCCAGCACATACGATGAAATACAGTACACTGAAGTACGCAGCCAACTGAGTTTCTTGCGCGGGCAATTTGAATTGATCGCCGCCGAAGGCTGTCACACACGGCTTTATTCCACCCGTCCCTATTGTTATCATGAAAAGACCTATTAACGTACAGAGCCTGAAAATAACATAAGTAAAAAAATCGAAGCATATACATACAAACCTATTTTATAGATCAATCCTCGTGGGCATTGTGCGGAATAACCAGAACAGACAACTAAATTATACATAAATCTTCACCTCAAACATTTCACATCATTTTGGCATATCTTATTTCGAAAGGAAACTAGCATTGAGTTTGGACTGATTGTAAGCGGTCACCGTACATAAGCTTGCGATAGCAGCAATACCCCTAGCACGAACCATTATCGAATTCGAATAGTTTGCAAACCGAAATGTCAATGTAAAATTTTGTATGGAAACTTGAACAGCAGCGGCACAAAGTACGTAACGAAAACTAAAAATCAGACCACATTTGACAATGACATTTTGGACTCGCAAACGATACGAATTCGATATTGGTTCGTGCTAGGGGTACTGAAGGCTGTCATTCACGCGTAACCTACTCGATACAGAAAACGTGTGTTTTGTAAGTGGCGAGTTTATTCAATTTATGTTACGAGATCAAAACCAACAGCTTTTTCGGGCATTCATTAAGAATAACTTTATATTTAAAGGAATCGTTGTAAGATACTCTACGTGATTTAACTAACTGTCTCATATACGAAATGTAGTTAATGAAGTTTTTATTGCAGAACTGAGTTAAGATTCAATTCATATTCATACCTGCCGGGTAAGGCTAGTTGAGGGATTGCTGTCACTGCGACCAAGAGATTACCAGCAGCGTATACAAACATCATATATAATATCGTCCTGCAATCAAAGGAAAGAAACGATAATGAAAAGATTGTTATTCATATAAGATCAAACATTTGTATGTTTGATCTTATATATATATCTAGCAGATAATGTTGGAAATTGTTATTCAACATTTATCTTAAAATTTTTGTGTGTCCAGGCATTGGATATATACATGGTCTTTGTTGATAGTTTTGGACTGAAATATCCTTAATATAATCTGCGTTTTGTGCTAAAGTCTAATTGTTTCTTATACCCCTAGCAAATTACACGTCCATTAAAACCCTTTTCAGATTCTGTAGGGACGGACCAGTTTTATGAGCACAAACAGACTGAAAAGGGTCCAAGGTGCCAAGTGTCATCTAAATATATTTTAGGTAGCTAAAGAACTTTGAGAGCTTTGCCACTTTTAACAATAGAACATGCAATTTTAATGGAATATTGTCTCTGTCCCCTTGTATACTTTTTAGATCTACTTTTCAATAGTACTTGCGTATTTATTGTTGATTTGATACTAATTACAACATTTTGAGACTATTAATGGCAAAATAAAATAGTTAGATAAAATTTTGTTTTTTCTACATAATCATTATGTCATTTTTATAGTAACTTTACCTGTATTTGCCCAAGTAGTTGTCGGCTACGATACCTCCCACTATTGGGAACACGTAAACGAATGTACTAAACACGTGGTAGGTTTCCGTGGCGCCATCGTCACTATATCCGAGCTTACTTCGTAAATACAGCGTCAGGAATGCTGCAAACACATAGGTAAATTGCTATCAACAAAAACTGATATTGTTTTCGTACAGCGAGAAGTTTATTTTGATGACGCGCGGAAAATAATCAAAGCTCACTTAATGTAGGAGAGTATTTACTGGAGGTAGAGCGTTGCGGATTTCCCGCTCGAAATGGAACACCCGTCTAGAGAAGTAACCTCCAGCTTACTTAAAATCACAGTAAAATAACACAATATCTAATATATATTAAACTCAAAGGTGACTGACTGACATAGTGATCTATCAACGCACAGCCCAAACCACTGGACAGATCGGGCTGAAATTTGGCATGCAGGTAGATGTTATGACGTAGGCATCCGCTAAGAAAGGATTTTGATCAATTCTAACCCCAAGGGGATAAAATAGGGAATGAAAGTTTATATGAAACTTTGTCAATTTTAAACCGATCGGGCTGAGACTTTGCATGCAGGTACAAGAAGAATCATAGATGAATGTCATTGTATATAATACAAGCCTGAGAACAAAAACTGTAGTCTACACTACAGCTCTTCACCGAAGCGAAGCGAGGGCGGGCCGCTAGTAAATTATAAACACTACCTTTTGGTGGTGTTGTGTTTCTGTCGATGAGTAAGGTTCCAGGGCTTCACGGGGTAGGAGATCGGGTCAAGGTAGACAATGATGCGAGTGATATTTTTGGTATCGCAAGCGTCTATATGCTATGGTGGCCTCTTAAGCAGGCGGGCCATACGCTTGTTTGACAGCCTTTTAACATAAAAGTGGAGTCTGATCCCGAGGATAATCGATACGGTAGAAAAATGTGTCGCACCAGCAATTTTCACCTTTCTGAAGAACGTGATCAGCTGCCACTTGGGGACCTTTAACCTTACTCAATAAATCAGTCTGATTTAACAGAGATCTTCTGTATGGTGGTAGTTACTGCTCCAGAGTGCCCCAGACGGGTGGAAATACCCGCTGTGTCCCTGTCTCTCAAAAATGTCTCATACGGGGAATCAAAAATTACAAATTGTAACCTCTAAATAAAAAGCTTCCTAAACTATGAAAGTATTTCTGGTGAGTGTTGAAATAAGCGAAGTCCATGGTTGTAATTATCTTATATTCCGTTCGACGCTTTTATAAGATTATACACACATCAAAAGTGTCTAGGGATCAACATATATTTTTGCAATAACTTTTCTCCTGATTGATATTAATTAAAATTTTCTTTAAGGATTCATCAAATAAAGTGTTTTCGTTTGTCACAGTAACGATAAACCAAGTCACCTTTGCATTAATAAAGAAATTTGCCATTTTCCTAATAAAGGGATTTTTGACATTTGAACCACTAACACAAAAGTTCGAAAAAAAGACTAAAATAACAGTTTTCTCTAAAATTTTATTGGGTAACTTAAACAATTAATAATCCGTATTTCTACCGCGAACACTAACAACACAAGAACATCGGTTTGGCATACTCAAAATGAGTTCATCCAAATCACGCTGTGGAATGGCCGCCCATGTTCGTTGCAACAACAAAAAAGGGTCTTCTTGCGACTGGATACCCTCCATATTCGGCAGAGCTCTTCTCTGTAGCATATCCCATGCATGCTCAATCGGGTTCAAGTCTGGCGACTGAGCAGGCCAGGGCAGGACATTGATGTTAGCTGCGGCGAGAGTCTGTCTTACAACTCTTGCGGTGTGCGGTCGTGCATTATCATGCATTAACTGAAATAAGGGACCGATTTGCACTTGTAGAGGAACGATGACGTCTGATACAATCGTCTCAGCATAAATTTGAGCGTTGAGGTTGCCTCTGATCCAAATCAACTCAGTTCTTCCGCCGATCCAAATACCCGCCCATACCATGATGGTTCCACCACTATAAGGATGGACTTCCTGGCAGGATTTTAATCGCTGTTGGCGTCCAGGGGTTCTCCAGTGTCGTATACGTCTTGTATCCGGTCTCATACCAAAACGAGACTCATCAGAAAAGCACACGAAACGCCATTGTTCTTCTGCCCAATTTCTGTGTTCAAGAGCCCATTGATATCGAATCCTACGATTGTGCATTGCTATAGGTGGTACCCGTAGCGGTCTTCGGGAATGAAGGTTCACTTCATGCAAGCGGTTTCTGACTGTTTGGTCGCTAATTAAGTTCCCTGAAGAGTGATGAAGCCTCACGGCTAACATCATGGCGGTTATTGTTGGAGCTCTTCGAGTTAAGATTTGAATGTATCGGTCTTGTCTCCGTGTGGTGCAGCGATACCGTCCTCCATGGCGCTCAGCCACGGTACCAGTGCTTCGGTATCGTGTCCAAAGTCGACTGATAACACTCTGACTTGTATTCAGAGCTAAAGCCACAGTACGTTGCCGGGAACCAGCTTCTATCATTCCCACGGCTCTGAGCATTTCTTCCCTGCTTAAATGACGTCGCCGCTCCATAATAACGTTGGTTTTAATCAGTAGTAGGGAAACAGTAGCACTAATAATGTCTTCAATGCGTTGTATGTTTTTATAGGGAAAATATTGACAGCTGATTTTCATCTTTTACTCGAATTTGATTCACAGTTCCTGATTCAAATTATGAAATGCACCAAAAAGGATCCATATAAATTTATAAAATCATAAATTTATTACAAAGCCACATCTCAATCTCAAGAAATCCGCATAAAAATGCTTGATCCCTAGACACTTTTGATGTGTGTATATTTGACTCATATTGTCAAAAATTAGATGCCCTTTTCAACCTACGGTCGCGGAGAATAAAGTGAGAAGAGATCGATGGCGCAATTGGTTAGCGCGTTCGGCTGCGATAGTTGCATTTAAGCAACTTTCGCAGTGGTCGGTCATTGGATGGGTGATCAAAAATTTACTATCTTGAACTCCTCCGTGCTTCGAAAGGCACGTTAAGCTGTTAATCCCGGCTGCATCTGCAGTCGTACGCACCCACTCATCCACACTAGGCGGGCGTGCTAGGTCACGGAGCCCAATCTCCCTCTTTCATCCATAGGGAGGGCCTGTGCCCAAGCAGTGGGGTCATTAATAGGCTGACGATGAAGGTACCCACATAAGGTAAAAAGCTAAAGTTTTGTACGCCATACTCACCTCTCATCCCAGAATAAGATAGTCGCTCGCAAAACTCGGTGAGGATTATGAAAATTACAATGGTCGGAAATCTGCCTTTGTCCTGACGAAAAAATGAACAAAGTAATTATGACAGATATATCATACTAATTTAATTTGTATGTGATAGATAAGCAGTACTTTTAAATTATAGCCCACATGCACCAACATTCTTAAATCACATTGAACTTGAATTCAGAACCCGCATGAACCAATGTCCAATTCGAATACTTGAATTCGATCTCGATTCGCGTCAAATGTCAAGACTCAAAAATATGGCATAGTATGGCATTGGAACTTGGAAGGATCTGGAACATTGTACTGTAATTATCTTTATAATGGCTGAAATCCTGAGATAGATTGAGAGGTTCTATTGGCAATTCCCACGCTCGCCGATGCGGCTTCCGCAAACACCCGCGCGCTCTGCGGGAGTAAATCGCGCCGTGAAATTTGCAAGTGGCACTTTAAAAACCTTCTTGACACTGACGCGTTTCTAGATCAAATTCAACTATTTTAAATCTAAATTGGTTGGTGCTAAAGGTGTAGTTTAACTCATCATCATGAAACGATTGAAGTTAATAGAGATGGAACGAAACGTGATTTTAAAATAATGTTGTGCAATGCAAGTGGGCTAAAGTAAAAAGAAAATTTTAAAACCAGCCAGCCAATATCTTTTAACCTTACCTACATTATAATATCGAGCGTAAACGCCAACAAATTCAATATTTATTTTATATTAATTTAATTATTTATTTTTAAGTAAAATATAAGTACATACAACTAAATATCATGCGTATATTTCAAGTTTGTACCTTTTTTAATATCGAGATTCGAGAAAAAAATGGAAAAAAAGTCATGTTTATTGTATGGGAGCCCCACTTAAATATTTATTTTATTCTGTTTCAACCGACTTCAAAAGGAGGAGATTCTTAATTCGTCTGTATGTTCTTTTTTATGTTTGTTACGCGCTTTCTCTGTCAATGATAGGCCGATTTTCAAAATTATTTTTGTAATTACAAGTCGATGCTATACAATTCATGTTAAAAGATCGGATTTACTCATTACTGGTTGAGTTGGCATGTCCCTGACACCAAATTTTATTTTGACTTTAAATGTACTTTAGGTATAAGTTAAGTAATGTACAAATTTTTACTTTTCGTCATGTTATGAAATCGGTTTTTATTTTTGTTAAAAAAGTTTTTTAGTATGTTTTGTAACAATTTATGACCGACAGACAGACAGACAGTGGAGTTTGAAGTTTTATCAATAGGCTCCCACTGTTACAATTTAGGTACGTACCCTAAAAATATATTCTAAGAGGCGTTTTTTTATGAGACTTCATGTTTACTACGTATGCTAATAATAATTATTATGGTTATTTATTTAATATTGTTACTTGTACGTAGGTAATAAGTAATTAAAGAAATAAACAATAAATTAAAAACGAACTAAAAATACCAACCCCATTTTTCTCTAAGTTTTCACTCGCTTCCATTTTTGTTTCCGTAGTCATTTCACGCACAGCACTTAACACCCACCGGTAAGGAATACTTACAACATAGCACTACGTCAAACTACAGTCTTACGAATCATTTATACTAACACTACATTTAGATAAACAGGCGTGTATGCTAGACAACCCCGTCATATCATCGGCTTAACCAGTCACCCTGCGCCTGCGGCGTAAACACTGAGGCGTCAATTATTTGCTCTCGTTTGTTTATGAACTTACGGCGATAATTTATATTTATAACGAACTATTTACGCAGCGTACACCACGGAAGCTTGCAAAAAGGACGATTAGTTCAAGAACGATTTCATCATACTGTTTTGCAGTGTTCATAAAATATACGTATTTTGATTTTCCTGGTCATCATATCGTTTTCATCCATACAGGTGATGAAAACTTTACGAGAATCAGTACCCTTAGTACAAACATATGTAATCGAATTTGTAACGTTTGCGAATTTGAAATGTCATTGTCAAATGTGTCATCATCATCATCAGCCTATTAATATCCCCACTGCTGGGGCACAGGCCTTACCTATGGATGGTAATAGGGAGATTGGGCCATGACCCTCCACGCGGGCCCAGTGCATATTGGTGGGTGCTAACGACTGCAGATGCAGCCGGAACCAACGTAAGCCGTTGGTGCGTGCCTTCCGAAGCACGGAGGAAATCGATATAGTAAATTTTTGGTCACCCATCCAATGACCGATCACTGCGAAAGGTGCTTAACTTCAACGATCGCAGCCGAACGCACGAACCACTGGCGCCATCGAACTCCTCAAATGTGTACTGATTTTTAGTTCTCGTTATGTACTTTGTCGCGCTGCTGTTCAAGTGTCCATACAAAATTTGACATTGACATTCAGCACTCGCAAACTATTCGAATTCAATAATGGTTCGTGCTAGGGGTAGAACTATCCTTATTGTTACCTAGTTTTTGTGGCCTAAACAGACAAAAAGCCGCTGGGGGATTTTATTCTACAAATCCTGTTGTATAATAGGAGGTGAGGACTGAGGAGAGAAGAAAATCAGTTGTGCCCGGTTTCTTCTCGCCCGTCTGGGCAGGTAAACTTCGCCTTACAGAAGACTACGGTTAAATAACATTACTTACCTTTCAGTGATGTTGTCAGTGCCGTCTTTGACCTATTGGAGGCCCTGGGCATATTAGGATAATGGGGCCCGTATGACCCCCGTTTGGTGATCAAGAAGACTTTGTATTTGTGATCTGAGGTGCCCACCTATCGATCATGGGGCCTTGGGCACTTGCCCAAAGTGCCCACTGGGAAGGTGTTGTGTTTCTGTAGCTGAGTAAAGAGGGCTGGTTCTACAGGGTAGCGGCACGTAGCGGTTTGGGTTCAGGCGGCAAGATGGTTAGAGCGGATAATTTTTGTGCCGCATCAACTCTCTTGAACTCCATCAACCTTTTTAATTAGTGGTTAGCTAATATGCCGCGCTATATAGTTGAACAAAAATACTACTTATTTGAATAGACGACTTACGTGCGTTTTTGTGACTATTGTTAGGTACCTAGTAAAAAAAATATATAGCCTAATGATAATGTCATTACATTGTTACTTATGGTGTAGTCCTCCTAGCTCAAACAATAACTCAACCACAGCCAAACAGATCCAATATTTGTTCTTCGGTGGAGTTATCGTTGCAAATTAAATGGAGTCCGTAATAGGTCCGCTCCGCTCGCAGTACAAGGAGTTCATACGTCTTGGCAACTGGCTTCCCAAACTGTTAATGGCTAGCGTCGCCAGCAGTCTGCGTTTGTTGTCTGGCTGGGCCCGCGTGCCACTTACGATTTGCACCCTCTCCCCCTCCCCCCTCTGGTTGGTAACCTGTCGACCTAGTTTTTTTTTAATCCGGCCCTGCATAACTCTATCGAAAGCTTGGGTTCAATACTTGATTCTAATTTACGCAATACTAGGTACAAGTATAAGTGCTTCAGCTTATCTTGGAATTTAAGCCATTTATACATATTGTAAAAAATATACTGACGAATTGAGAATCACTTCCTTTTTCAAGTCGGTTGATAACATACACACACCAAAAACTAATAAAAACTTTGGTAAGATTCTAAATTTTAAAATTAGAATTAGAACGTAAAACAATAAAATAATTCAATTGTTTTTCCATATAAAAAGACATGCAATCCAAGCTGACATTCATTCAGAAATGTGACTTAGTCTTTAATATCGAATTTAAATTATTTATTCACGGAAAGTTGTGATTTAAAAAATGCCACGAGGATTACCAGATGTTTTACGAGCCAGAATTGTACCTTTGAGGGAAGAAGGCTATTCTACGCGAGGAATGGCACGTAGAGTTGCCATATCCCAATCCTGTGTAGTAACCACGTTGCAGAGGTACCACGGCATGGGTAATTTAGCTGATCGACCCCGCAGCGGTCGCCCAACTGTTTTGACAGCTGCTCAGAAGCACTACATCAGGTTACTGGCAGCTTGCGACCCAACAATAAACGCCACTAAATTAAAAGCAGAAATATGGGCCGCCTCCGGACTTGAAGTTAGCACTCAGACCATTCGGAATTGCTTACACAAGGCTGGATTACGAGCACGGAGGTCTGCACCTCTGAATTTTTAGCCTAGCCCACTGTAATCTCCGTCGCTGACGTGCGGGAACGTCAGCGACGGAGATTACAGTGGGCTAGGCTCCGGCAAAACGAAGATGACGAAGAGGAAAACATTTGGCAAAACTGCCTCTTCGTTGACGAATGGCGAATCAGTACTCATCCAAATAACCGACGTGTCCGTGTTTGGAGGAGACCTGGTGACTCTGAAAGGCAAAAAACGGCCATTGGAACGGTTCAGCAAGGCGGGAAATCAGTTTCCTTTTGGGGTGGTATTATGATTGGGGCTAGAACGCCTTTAATCCCTTATCAAGGCTTCATGACGGCAGACAGATACAAAACAGTCGCTATTGATGGAATCGTCAAACCTTTCCAAGTAAACCATGGACACCAATTTGTACTGGTTGATCATAATGCGCCCGCACATCGAGCTCAACGAGTCAATGCTGCTCTCGGAGAATACGAAATCACAAGGTTAGACTGGCCCGCCGGCTCTCCTGACTTAAACCAATAGAGCACGCGTGGGATGCTCTTGAGCGAGCTTAAGCACCACCCCAGACAGTGCCGCAACTCAGGGAAGCTGCTGTTCAAGAATGGGACAGGTTACCACTAGAAATACTGGATTACTTGATCCTCAGCATGCCCAGGAGGATGTCCGCGTGTGTTCGAGCCAGAGGAGGAGTTATTTTGTATTAGATAAACAACAATTTATTCATAAAAGGTTTTTAAGTTTGGTTAAACTATCTTTTTATTTCTAACAAAGTTTTATTACAATCGCCTTAGGATTGAATTACCTATTATATTTTTTATACTAAAGACTAAAATTAGTTTTATTTTTTAATTTCTGAAAGTGTAATTTTAAATAAAAAAGATAGAACGTAAACATGTTCTCTTGATTAAGTTAAATTTTGATAATATATCAGCTTTTGCAAGTGATCTCAAACTTTGATTGATGTGTGTATCTAAGTACATAGTGGTTAATAAAAATAAAAATACCATAATACGAAAATAACCATTGAACAAGCCGACGCGTCCACTAATACTACTTTTTAAGGAGAGCGCCATCTGTCAGTTTAACGAGAAATTGCTTGATACTCACTCACCACCATGGACAAAAATACTTTTTAAGAAGAGCGTCATCTGTGAGTTTAATGGAAAATTGCTTGATACTCACCACCACCATATGCTATTATAAACCTAGAAAAATATTAACGTGTCGTGGCGTGTCGGTGCGCATCGGTTTCATTCATTTATTATAGGTTAAAGAGAGAGAGAGAGATAAGAGAGTCGACACGACACGTCAATATGTCTCTAACCATAGTAAAATGAAAACCGATGTGCTTCTCTCGCCCCACGACACGCAAATATGTTTCTAACTTTATGTTCACTGTTCATCACACACACCACAACGCAACCCATAGACTCTATGCCAAAACCTAACTAAATATTTCGTTGTTTACCATGCGCCTATATATTATTTATTAGCTATTGTTTTAATACATCTCGCTATAATTTTTATCATCAACATTTAATTTTGAAATGGAATCTTTAAAAAAACAATGGTCTCCAGTATGGCGACGCTGCGGGATACGTAGCGACTGACGATCAGAGCCGCCGTGTGTTTTTATAAATCTTGCTATGAATTTTGTCATTATACTTTTGTGGTCTCTAGTATAGGCGGGCGATTCTCACTCTAGCCCGCACTATGCTGAGGGGAACAGAACTGCATTCGCATGCGGGAGTGTAGATCTACATCATCATGCATTTTTTTCCATACAAAGTCGTGTTTCTTTGCATGTAGGCGCGTGATCTGCAACACTGCGCGAGAATACGTTTTCTTTAAGTGTGTTGCACAGTTCACTACGCGTGTTTCAATACAAAACGTAAGAAACCGCACTCCCGCGCTAATCAGTGTATAACGTGACAGTGTGAGAATGACCTACATTTTGCATAAGTTTTTTTTTTGTAGCAACCCTGAGAACGACGCCAATTTTGACAGAGAGTGAGCGAGATAGTTGCCGACTTGCCGTCTTCAGCAAAAGTCGAAGCCTCGTTCGTTTGCATTTATAATTTTCGTGTAAAACTGTAATTTACCTGCAGCGAATTTTTACAAAAAGCATATTATATAATAGAAAATGGTTGCTAGAGTGGCTGGAGTATTTGATGAGAAACTGACGGAGGCAATCGCCAACTCGAAAATCTTAGTGGTCGGAGCCGGCGGTATAGGTTGTGAAATCCTAAAGAATCTTGTTCTCACCGGCTTCCCACAAATTGAAATTGTACGTATGACTTTAACAATTACAGTGAAATAAAAGTAATCTTAGAAATGATCAATATCATTCCCAGCTTTGTGACGTAGGTATTATGTCCTCACCACACGTCATACCACCAAAGTAACCAAAATATTTGTTCATCTTTTTGTTATATTGAGTTAAATAAAAGCTATTTTAGATCAGAGTTGTTCTATTCATCGATTAACATTGAAGAAAGTTATCTCTGTTTGATATGTACTTAATTCAGGTAGGTACTCATTTCATAACAAGTTAAACTTCAGTGTCAAAACACTTGTTTTCATTTTAGCATAAACCTTTAGCTGTGTACTTTATATTGAATTTGTGAGAAATTATTTTTAATTATATTTCAGATTGATCTCGACACAATTGATGTGAGCAACTTAAACCGTCAATTTTTATTCCACAAAGAACATGTTGGCAAGTCAAAAGCACAAGTAGCCAAAGACAGTGCACTGAGCTTCAATCCTAATGTAAATATTGTAGCACATCATGATAGTGTAATAAGGTAATTATTTATCAATCTCTATTTAGTATCTGCAGTCAGTAATAGCTATATTGTGTTGGCGAATAGTGGCAAGGAGAGTGTATGGTACTATAAATATGTTAGCTACAACAGGCTGTGTTCAATACCTATGTTCTGCTCAAGGCCTACAAGAATATAGAGACTGCTGAGCTTCTTGGGGAAGCTGGGATGGCATAGCTAAAGCCACTCATGCAAAATAGGCACCTGGTGTCAAGTTGTGGAGAATGTTCTCATCTGATGAAGATCTCTCAAGATGAAGAAAACCTATGCTCTGAGTGCAACCATTTATCCTGACATTTCAATTTTAACTAAATGTTGAAGTTAATGTGAACTTTGACATTTATTGCACCTAGACAAGGGCAAATCCCGAGGGGGGGTCTGGGCTGGGTCCTTCTGTACCTACTGTGACTTGACCACGACTATATGACCCCCCTGGTGCCAAAGCTGAATCCGCCCTTGCACCTAGAGCATGTGTTTGGAAGTAAGACCACCTAACTTCAAAAGCATCTCTACTTATTTAATTAAAATCTACTTGCTAAGCGCACAAACTTAACCTTTGTTGATATTCCAGCAATGATTATGGAGTCAGCTACTTCAAACAGTTCAACATAGTGATGAATGCATTGGACAACCGTGTTGCTCGTAATCATGTAAACAGAATGTGTCTTGCTGCTAATGTGCCTCTAGTGGAGACTGGCACTGCTGGATATGCTGGGCAGGTAATGTGAAGATTATTATATAAGATAAACCTGCTAATTATAATGTAGCTTTGAGTTCTTGATGTTTATGAAATAAACTACTTTTAACGGGTTACTGCACGAAACTTAATTATTTATTGACGTTTCGCAGCCTTTTCAGGTCTGCTTCGTCAGAATGATTTTTTATTTAATTTTGTCGAGCTGAAAAAGCTGAAATAAAAAATTATTCTGACGAAGCAGACCTGAAAAGGCTGCAAAATGTCAATAAATAAAGTTTCATGCATTAACCCGTTAAAACTAGTTTTTTTCAATGAGTGATGTGCTTGAAAACCTAAGAAACAAATATTGATATGTTTGGTTATGGCTGAAACACAATTTTATAAGGCAACACTTTTGCTTTCCCGAATTTGATTCCTGGCTGGGCAATTTAGAGTAACTTTTCATTATATTAGTCTGAGTTTTGTAGTAGCTATGTTATTTGTGATTTTATAAACTTAAGTTATACAGCTAATTACTGTGGAAGAGATTATTAATATCCAAGTTCTTTTAGGTTGAGTTAATCAAAAAAGGTCTTACTCAATGCTATGAGTGTCAACCAAAAGCACCTCAAAAGACATTCCCTGGCTGTACAATTCGTAACACTCCCTCAGAGCCCATTCATTGTATTGTGTGGGCGAAACATCTTTTCAACCAATTGTTTGGAGAAGAGGATCCAGACCAGGATGTGAGCCCTGACACTGCGGACCCAGAAGCAGCCGGAGAAGCAGGAGCATCAGCATTATCTTCAGAAGGCACAACCAGTGGGAACGTAGACAGAAAAAGTACCAGGCAATGGGCGGCAGAAACAAATTATGATGCAGAGAAATTGTTCACAAAGCTGTTTGGCGATGATATTCGCTATTTACTCTCCATGGAGAATTTGTGGAAGAAACGCCGTCCTCCCACACCATTGACGTGGGACAATTTACCAGGAAAAGATGACCCACCAACTCAACATTCCGGCTTGCCTGATCAACGTGTGTGGTCAGTGCATGAATGTGCTCAAGTGAGTAATCTACAGTTAATTCAAAACACCATCAATGTTATTCATTACAAAATGTACCAATTCGGTTGGTACATTTTGTAATGAAATATTGATGTCTAAAGTAGCAGCTACTTATCTTCATATAAGAACTATGTGTGTAATGTTGTTGAAGGCTTATTTTAATGGAAACTCATGCCAAAATAAAACAATATTGTATCCTTAAGCATTATTGATAACGACAGCGTCATCAGTCCTTCAACGGATACAATACCGTAACAGATGTCGCCATTTCCTTTGCAATGTGTATAGTACAATACTAGTAAATAGACAGAGAAGATACTGTGTATTTTTATATTTTTTTAAAGATCGCAGACCCTCCTTATATATTGCCCTCCTGATGGTAAGCAGCCACCATGGTCTATAGACACTTGCAATACAAAAAAAGTCACTCACACCGTTGCCTACCCTGACCCCAGTCCTCTACCCCGTAGAGCCCTGGAACCTTACTCACCAACAGAAACACAACACCACCAAAAGGTAGTGTTATTTTACTACAGTCTTCTGTAAGGTGGAGGTTACTTCCCCAGTCGGGCACCCCAACTCGAGCGGAAAATCCGCTATGCCCTACCTCTCTAAATCTCAAATAAACTGAACGGTTGCAATACTTTTTTTAGGTATTAGCCAACAGCTGTAAAGCTTTGCAAGCAGATTTAGCAGGTCGTCCCGAGGGAGACCACCTCGTGTGGGACAAGGACGAGAAGAGCGCAATGGATTTCGTTACCGCGTGTGCTAATATACGCGCGTTCATATTCAACATACCCACAAAGTCGCGCTTTGAAATCAAATGTAAGTGAAATCTTATTTATGTATACTAATATTTCTATTATAGATATCCCCGGTTACTCGGTAATCATGCCGCTTGCAACAGTACCAAAAAATCAGAGACGCACAAAAAAACATGGTAGCAATCCCTAAATAACTTACTATAATGCTAGTCAACATGAAAGTTTATTTGTATGACCACATGGTAACAGATTAGCAACATTTTGCTGATATGGTACTGACCCGTTTCATTTCCATGTACAAATCAGTTTTGCGCTGGAGTCATTTACCTGCTTTCATTTTGTCATATTTATAGCAGTCAGTGACATGAATTACGATGAAGCGGTTGTTTGGTGGATCATGTACCTCATGATCATGATGCTTTTCAAAACAAGTAAATAGACAACAAGTTTAAAATGTATTATGTCATTGTTTGTTTACCTAAATAAATTAAAAAAAAACACTATAGTAGCGTTATGATAAAGCAGTAGTGGATCAATAAATAGCTCTGTGAAAATCACTTGTATCTGTCAAAAGCGGTTAGAGAATAGGCCTACTGGACATGCACTAACCGCCTTTCCATGGACCACTGCTTACGAATTGTATCCCCCTTCCCCAAAATTTGTAAATCAATCAGCGTTTTTCCTTATAAAATATTTTTTCGAATGGCTTCACCCAAAGTGGACCACTTGACCACCAGGCTAAGAAGCGCTGCTCTAGGGCAAGCAAAAATTGGACTGTCAAATGATCTTCATTATCATCAGCCTATTAATGTCGCCACAGCTGTGGCACAGGCCTTCCCTACAAATGGAAGGGAGACTGAGGGCTACAAATGCAGCCGAGAACAACGGCTTAAGGTGCCTTCCGAAGCACTATTATAACTTTAAAAATTGGTTTGTTCCTACAGCGATGGCGGGCAACATAATCCCGGCGATAGCGACGGCGAACGCGATAGTGGCGGGGCTGGCGGTGCTGCGCGCGCAGGCCATACTGCGCGGCCTCACCGCCGCCGCCACCAGCGTCTACCTGCGGCCCAAGGTCAACCACCGCGGCCAGCTGTTCGTGCCGGAGAAGGGTCAGTGCTCTGTGTGATACGTTGCCATAGCGACGCGGCCGGGATAGTGTTAGGGCTGGCGGTGCTGCGCGCGCAGGCCATACAGCGCGGCCTCACCGCCGCCGCCACCAGCGTCTACCTGCGGCCCAAGGTCAACCACCGGGGTCAGCTGTTCGTGCCGGAGAAGGGTCAGTGCTCTGTGTGACACATTGCCATAGCGACGCGGCCGGGATAGTGGCGGGGCTGGCGGTGCTGTGCGCGCAGACTGTTTCAAACGTTTGAAAAAAAAACCGTTATTACCCGGGACTTAATCGGTTCAGCGGTTTGAACGTGACACACTTTTGCTTTTGTATTTATAATATGTGTGCATTAAGCAAAATCATCTATGGGAATATCTTAAGTATTATTAAGCCCAATAGTTGTAAACTGTGCCTTTACAAATAGTCATTTTCTAAATTGGACAAATCATTTAGTTTTACACAAATTTCATATTATTATTTTTTGGCTTATTGATAAATTTATTTTTACAGCCCTCACTCCACCGAATCCGAAGTGCTACGTTTGCGCTCCGAAACCGGAAGTGGGCCTCGCGTGCAACCTCAAATCGCTGACTCTCAAAGATTTGACAACAGCTTTTAAAGATGGTTTGAACATGCAAGCGCCGGACGCGACAGTGGAAGGCAAAGGGCTCGTAGTCCTGTCTTCAGAACCTGGAGAAACTGACCACAACAACGACAAAACTCTAGAACAGATCGGTCTCAACGATGGATGCGCCTTGCTAGTGGACGATTTCCTGCAAAACTATGAAGTGAGAGTCAGATTGCAGCAAGAGGACGACGAGAAATCGTGGCGTTTAGTTACAGATACGGACGCCCCCATGCCAGCACCAAAGGAAGAAGAAAAACCCGCGAACGGATCAAACGGTTCTAACGAACCCAAACCCGGACCATCCAGGACCAGAGCGGACAGCGAGAGCGATATGGAGATTATAGAGGAAGATGACGATGAGACCACAGTGAAACCACCAAAGCGCAGGCGAACAGAGATGAGTGATGAAGTCGTCGAACTATGCTAAAATTGCACTGAAAACACATGTCAAATACTTAAGCTATCGACATAAATTGTTACAAATTCGTACTAAACTAGAAAATTACAAGTGTCTGTTGTGATGTAAGAACAAAGGTCAACATCATATTGTTAGAGAAGAGAATCTCTTTAATTATAAATTAATTCATTTTACATTCAGAGTTAGTGATATTTTCTTATTTGATATCTATTTATTTGTTTCTAAATCATCATCATCTGATGATGGCATATACAAATGGCCAGTCATAGCCAGTGATTAAGCCAGTGCAGTTATTAAATTTATTTTGTATTTTTTATCAGTTATGCAAATCTAATACATAGTAACTTAATACCGATGACATTAATGGTTGTTGAAATTTATAGAAACAAACTAAAAAGTGTTTTTGTAGCCTTTTGATAGCAATAAGTATTATTTAAATAAGAGCTACGATTATTAGTAAGTGTAAACTTTTAATGAGGATCTATTTCAATGTCTTCATTTTGAATAAATTTCAATTTAATAGTTTGGCTTTTAATTTAAACCCAACTGACTTGATTATTATCTTAACAGAGCAGTTGTGACAATTAGTATATTAAATGAAACATTGGTAAAATTTATATAATTTATTTACACATTTTAAATAATAATTTCAATATTAAACTACCCAAGTAAAAACACAAAATTTATTACTAAGTGGACACCTTCTGAACATTTCAATTTATCTGATTGTATATTTTATTATACACTCCAATATAAACAAATTATTGATCACAAATTGTTTTCTTGTACAAAGATTGGTATCTTATTTGTATTAGCAAATTCTATCAATTTAAGATTGACAAGCTAGTTTTCAGTAGTTGGTGCATTCAGAACACAATCATGAAAATTAATCTTAGGATGAGTAATAACATTTTTAGCTTCTCCATGGCCCAGAGCCAAAAGACCTACAGCACCCACCTATTCTTTCCTGCAGGTCTTCCCATATACTAAGGCGCTTTGCAGACGACGCGTCGTCTTCTTCTGTACTGGGCTGTTGCCCATCTCAGAGATAGCGGGTTCGAGTCCCGCTAACGAACGGGACTGTCCTGGGGGTCGAACCCCCCTCTCTACGGCTTCACTCGACGCCCTCGGCGCGGTCAAGCCCACCGGGTGAGACCCATGTGGGAGGCCCAGTGAGCGAGCGGGCGACGGACTTTGGTGTGAGGGGGGATTGCAGACGACGAGGCGGGGCGGGCTTTTTGTCCGCGAAGCAATAAAAACCGCGTCTGCCCGTCGATGTCTGCGGCTGCCCTCGCCGTATACACAAAGCACACGACGGGCAGACGCAGCCAGTTCAGGACGTTCGTTCTAGTGAATAGTCCATCACTAAAAAGCGCGTGGCGCGTCTGAGCTAGCCGCCCCGCGCCGCCGTCTGCGTTACTGCATATAAACTGGTTTGTTTGATCCACGGCGGGCAGCCGCGGACATGCCGCGCCGCCACTGCCCGCCGGGCACCTGCGGCGCGGTCTTTTTGCCCTCTGTGTGCGTTTGTAGTATAGGATTCACTTTGTGCTATCGTTCGCGGCGAAATTGACCGGTCCGCCCCGCCCCGTCGTCTGCAAAGCGCCTTGTTACTCTTTGTCTGTGTCTCAGCACTGGGGACGTTTAAGGTCCAATGATGATGCATTGTGATTAAAATCAAATTAATAAGTGATGAAAAACATTGTAGATGTCTCTACATCCACACAGCAATATGGCATCATTTAAAAACAATCTCAATGCAAGCTGAGCACTTCATTGTATTACAAATAAGAATTTATTGTATCTGCATCATAAGCAATAAAAGTTAATGCTGGCACTTCACTCTGCTATTTGTAAACTTAACAACAGTGTCCTTTTCATTCATTATAACACAAATATTAGGACAGACTGTTGTCAAATTTACAAATAGAGAAATTTTAGACACATACACTGGATATTAGCCATATTCCCAGGAAGCCAACACTGAAGAAATCTAATGTAATATAAATGAAACGCCAGCACAACATTCCCCATATCCCAATAAAGGATGAACCTTAAAACTACCAAATTAATATTACTAATTAACCTAAATGTGAAACAAACAAGCTTTACTAATAATAAAAGTCAACTTGGATTTTACCTACTCCAGTTAGGTAAAACAGCGAGATACTTATTTTACCTTCTCTTAAGAGGAAATTTTTGCAGAAGACAATTTATTGATGAAGAAATAAATTACATAATAATATATTTGGTCACTCCAATCAAAATGTGTTTGTATGCTTACTCAATAATGGCTGTAAAGTTTAAGATGTAATTTGGGACACCTTAAATAAAGTATTGCTTGATTTGAGACTTAATACTTTTATTTATCCTGAAAATGTGTGCTTATCAAAACACTAACTATAATAAAGCAGGTGAAGTTGTTGCGGAAGCTAGTTTATTATATACCTCCATGCTAAGTTACATGCTAAATAAGACTCAAATGTTATAATAAATGAAAATTGTAAAACCTAATGACCTTGTAAACTGTGAAAAATTACATTTATATTCTGAAAATATTATCCTTTCATAACTAAATAAGTACAGAGTAACAGTAACTCGATTAAATGTTTAGGTTTTGCTTCAGAGATCCTTGCTTGGACGTGTTAATAGAAACTAAAGTTTAATTAAATAATTGGCACATATTAATAAACAAAGAATATGCTGACTAGTTCAGCAGTGTACTAACATATAAAATAAATTTTTAACTATAGTTAAACAGATAAAAAACCAACCAACTTGTTCTTTGATTATTAATAAGGAGGAATACATTTAGGGATACCCAATGAATAATATCATTTTAGGAGTATAATTATTCTTTCTACCTATGAGAGCAAATAGTAAAGGAAAATATACCTATGCCTTATATATATCTTAAATAAATGCTTCGAAATGGTTGATGATTTAGAGATTATTAGCAATAATTAATACTGAACACATTGAAAGCTTAAATATCTTAAAAAGACATTCTACTTCTCTGGTAATATCCCAAATTCTATTAGAAAACGTTCTACATCAGTAGCAAAAAAGTCATCTCCCAATTCAGTAGCTAGTTTTATAAAATTTCCAATTATTTGGCCACCTTTATATACCAGCAAGGCTGGCACTCCTTCCACTCTGAAATGTCTACTCATTCCTGTTATATCTGCTGCTATTCGACAAAATTTTACAGTGGGATAATCTGTTGCCAAAACTTGCAGACAACCATCCATAGTCTTGCATGCAACAGACATGTCACCATATATATGAACAATCACAGTTACCTTTTGATCTTCTTTATCAATTGCATTTAAAAATTCTTCTTGACTATTCAGTAATATGAGTTTACCAAATTGAGGCACTTTCTGAAGTTGAGTCATAAGCTCTTGCATCCGCTGCTGCTGATATTTCATAAGGAATTCCTCATCAATCAACTCACTGAGTTCATCCTCTAGGTCTTCTATCTTCTTGCTTTCTACTTCTTCGCGTTCGGTCTTTACAGACAAAGTTAGTTTCTTCGCTAGAGCTATTCGTTCCTTCTCTAACTCTGCACGATTTTCCGCCTCCAACTGTTTGTACCTCCTCCAATCTTCGAGAACTCCTTTTGGTCCGGTGTTCGTAGCTGACCCTGACCAATTATTGACAGGTGGCGGTTCAGCATTTGCCTTCGAAACAGAAGGTGCATTTCCTTCTTCATCACCGCTTCTACTATCTTCATAATCCGATCCTCCTTCATCTTCACTACTACTACAATAGTTGTGTAGCTTTTCGCCCAAAATTTTGTCATCTAACGTAGACATTTTAAAAGAGTCAGTGTTTATGTTCAATTAAGGAGGGAAAATGCGGTCTACTTCCTAAGGAAAAACTAATAAATTAATTAAAAGGTATTGCAAAATAAAATGATTACAGTACAGAAACTGTTTACATCCAGAGTTGCCAACCGTAGAATTTTTCCTCGTACTCAACTTAAAATCACGTAATCTGGCTTTTGAACTAATAGTAACGGCATGCTATGATGGCCGTTTTGACGTTAGTGTGTACATGAAGTTTCATATTCTTAACTCGAAATTAGTTCTAAATTAAAGATAAATAAATATTGTTCTTCATTGTCATTAGAGGCGCGCATTTAGCCATAAAGTTTATCAAATCGGTAATTTTAGAAGCGTAGAATTAAAATACAAAAATCAATAATGTTAAGGTCTAACTTTTTATTATGATGGTAACGAAAACATTTTCAAGTTTTAACATTTTATTTCAGCTTAAGAACAACCGGCCATTTGACAAAATCTTTAAAGGATTAAGTAAATTAAATTAATTAATTGATTTATTCTTATTATAATTAAGAACTGCTATCATCATAGAAATATTGGGTACTTATTCGCCATATAACTTCAGTGGCGGGGCAAGGCCTAAATTTGATGTGGGCAAGACAGATTTCGCGAGGCCCTGTTCTGTGGCGACCTGAAGACGGATTTTATAAAATAAAAAAAATGGGTGCGTGTACTTATGTAGGCGCGTGAGAAGTTATCCTTCTTTGGCATCGTTTAAAAATAGTTTTTAATTGCATGCAAATAATTAATTACAATAAATTAATAAAAAGTCTGGAAAAGGACACAGTCAATAAAGTTCAGTTTTAATTTGAAAAAATAAATAAATAATCAAAATATTCAATTAAAATCGCTACTGAATATAATTTATTAGAACATAAATGTGATTTGCACTTGTATGAAACTCAAACACGTATTCCGAATATACAAACTAGAAACATGTGGATAAATATTATAAATATGAATACCTATAACTGTTACTTTATTACAAAAAATAAAGATATGGTTTTTGGTTCTACTACACCAATGGTCAAGAGATGGCGCTGTAGTCTTCAAGCGCGATTCAGGAATCGCGCTTTGGTTCCGTTGTTCCAGATTAATAAATACTTTTGATAGGCCTTCACAATGCAATCGTTAGCACCCACTAAATAGAGATTCTATTTCTATTTTGTTGGTAGATTTTCCTAATGTGCGGTAAAAGCGACCAACTTCATGCTGTTAATTTTTGTGTTACAGTGATGCGCGCGCATCTTAAAATTTCACTCTCATAATTTTTTCATATCGCGCCTAAAGAAGTATAACTTTAAAAAAAAAAGAATATTAAGCAATGCATAATTTTTTTTTGAGTGAGTAACGCGAAGCCGTAGGCGGTGACCCACGTCGCCCATGCCTTACGCCGCCAATGGTGTCGATTCTAGCATGATTCTCTAAACCTAAACTTAAATTTGACAGCAGTATATCCTTGTCATTCTTTATACAGAATGAAAAGGAGAGACTGATGTTAAATTTAGTTTTAAGTTTAGAGAATCAGTCCAGAATTGGTATCACTGTATAACTTATATTTGTATATTTTGAAATTCGAAATGTAAAAACATGAAATTAATAAGATCGCTACATATATGAGCGCCGAACGTAATTCAATTAATTTATATTTTCGTTTTATTTATTTATATAATCCACAACTTCTTGCAATACCGGGGGAAAAAAATCAAAAATTTTAATACCTTGATGTGACTTGCAATTGATTATAGGTACATATATTTTTTTTCGATAACAGGTTGCCTTTTCGCGACACTATTGCAATGTGTCAAAACGGTCATCATAGCGTGCCGTGACTATAGTACACGATTTGACATAATTTATATGCCAAATTCTCGTAAATAATTCTACGAGATGTGTAGTATTCTCGTACCTCGTACGTAAGACTAGTACCCCTAGCACGAACCAATATCGAATTCGTATCTTTTGTGAGTCTAAAATGTCATTGACAAATATGTACTGATTTTAAGTTCTTGTTACGTCGTTTGCGGCGCTGCTATTCAAATTTCCATATAAAATTTGACATTGACATTTCGGACTCTCAAACTATTCGAATTCTATATTTGTTCTTGCTAAGGGTACAGAAATCGCGTGTATGTACGAGAAATCTCTACAGGCAAACCTGTTTTCAGCTGTGCAATGAGCACAGACTAATTATAGCCCTGTGCATATTAACGTGTCTAAGCACATCGGTTTCATACTTTTAGGGTACGGCCACAGTGCACGCAGGTTCAGAATCAGATTCATCTACGGTCAGAAACATATTCGTGGTTTCGACGCTCTAACCTCTTTCTCTGTCTCGCTAACCCATAATAAATGTATGAAACGACAACTTAATATGCACTGGGCTTAAGGCAAAAACATATTTACGTGTCGTCAGAATTTGCTTACATATTTGAAAGTCGTAACGTGTCCACACATCACGACAAGTAAATATGTTTCGGCCTTTAGTTAGATACTGGTGTCGATTCTGGCGTGATTTTCTAAATTTAAAACAAATTTAACATCAGTCTCTCCTTTTCATTCTGTATAGATAGAATGGCAAGGATACACTGTTGTCAAATTTAAGTTTAAATTTAGTGAGATGTGCCAGAATCGACTACACTACATGTTTTTAGAAATTAGAGATTAAGTCTAATACCGGGACTTCACTTGGCTATTCATATTTGCTATGTTTTGTATTTCAAATCTTTTTATATACTTATCACGCTTTATAAGCAGTAAAAAGGACAGACTTATCACGTTTACAATACAAATAGCAAGCAAACACGTATCTGTTTTCACCCGATAGTATTAGTAGTCATCACACACGCTATTTTAATAGAAAAAAGAAATAAAATATAAAACAACGCTGTATGGACAAAATATACTTTGCCTTCTCGTAAAGGTAAAATATAGAAAAACATATGTCAAAGTTAAAGTTTTGACTTTTGATCAGTGTGACCAGATTCAGTATTTTAATACTTTTTCAGTATATTTCATAGATTTTTCAGAACATCAGTATATTTTCAGGTATATTGCTGGCAGTCAGTATTTTTGGGTATATTTTGGTAGAAGTTATGGCAACACCGTAGTGAGTGATCGTCTTTGCGACAATGTTTGCGGAATGAGGGCTATCGCGTATGAATCCACCGCTAGAGGCGCTAGTGTAGCGTGAGGTCTCCGAAATGTCAAATGTTATTGATTGTTGGTTGTCTACGCGGGTTTATTTCTTATTAAAATAATGTTGTGAATAATTGGTAACAATTCGGCTTAATTATGGCAAATATGAGTTATGTGGCAATGAATGTCAGTTATTAAAAATTTGAGCTTAGAAAAATGATTATGTTCCCATTTTTTCCGAATAAAACGGAACTGGGCGTCACTGTGGCAAGGCCTATTATGTTTAGGATATGGTTCTTTTGTGTTAAAATACGATCTAAATGTAACCTTTGATTTCATGTGCGTATTAATAAACTTTAAAAGTTACAATTTAGGACCTCACTCAACAGTGGCGCCATCTGGTGAGACAGAAAACGGTAGCCTTGATTCCCCGGAATGCGAACATTGGGGACTTCCCCGGATTTAGTTTACCTATACTTATACATGTTATCTATGAGTAAATTACAGATATGACAAGAAAGACGACCGTTGTCGGCGTTGTAGTATTGTAATACTACATATACAATTATCAATCAATACATAGTATTAATCGGACTTGCAGAATGTATGTTCGCCTATAACTTTACAACTGCTGGGCCGATTTTAATGCGGTTTGCACTATTAGATAGAGCATGAAGAAATGAAGGAGGTTGTGTAAATTTTAATCCTTCGAAAAGGATGTTAAAATAAAACTCTAACATTTATTGTGAGTACGTATGAATAAATAAAATGTGTTAAGAAAATCAGTATTTTTATTGGTATATCTGTCCTATGTAAGTCGGTATATTTCAGTATTTTTTTGAGGTGCCTCGGTATTTTCGTAAAATTTTATCTGGTCACACTGCTTTTGATTTGTGATTGTGAATTTCTGATTCACTCACATGCTTGTTGTTTTTATGTTTTTATTGTCGAATTTAAGTGAATTATCAAAGAAACTCGCTTTAATTAGTTTTCAAGGAAACTATTGGCTGTCACTACAATGAGTTAGTTTCTCTTAGAGTTTTACGTAAGATATTAATTACGTTTGCGGCAACCTAAAAATATGATTTCTTTCTTTCAGGTCATATTTTTAAAAAGCTACATGATGTTGATCCAAATAATCCAGATGCTATAAAGGATGTCTTGACAACATTCTTTCAAGGCTTATCAAAATATTCGGAAACAAGCAACAGCAAATGGCTACGAGCATTAGAAAATATTATAACTCGGTAAAACAAATATAACCTATCTTTATTATTACTAAGCATGCTCATCATATTATGTATCAAGCGTCTTTGACTAGTGTGATATGCAGGGTTGGATTTAGGTATGTTGAAAAAGATAGCACAAAAAAATGAAAAGGTATAGTATTTATAAAAAAAATATAGTACACTTTTATTTAACATATAATAGTAAATAAAATCGACACCCGTTAAGGCAAAATATCCTCTTCTTATAAGTTTATGAGTTTTTGAATATTACTATTAGTTCTATCTTCATCCTTGGCATTTCATCTCATCAACATATTATCCTCAGTAGGAATAAAATCAGCACAATTTCCACTTTTGCTACCGCTTTTGATGCCACTTTCCATAATTAAAACACTGAAAACGTACTATTTTACATAAAAACTCACAAGCGATTGTTAAAACATTGAGCAAACTTTGAGTTTCCAATGGAATGGAAGGGACGAAATTAGTAGAAAGAGAGAAGTGTACTGCGGAGGATAATCAGGGAATCCCCGGCCAAAAATACAGCAAACATTGCAAGATCAGAATTCGGTTGGATACACGCACGGTCGAAATATTCAAAATATGACGTAAAACTAAGCATTCGGGAGCAAACTTTAAATTATAGTATTTAAGCGTACTATCCTTAGATATGGATAGTATATAGTATAAAGGGCAAAATTATAGTATAAATACTATAATTATAGTACAAAATCCAACCCTGGTGATATGTTATGTATGTCCGCTGTACCAATAATCTGCTTGTCTAGAATCTATATAATAATGTGCAGTTCTCTTCATACTTTTTGCTCTAAGTCATTAAAGAAATTCCATAGAAGTCTTTTGCTCTTGGCATTTAGTAAATCGGTTATGTTTTTTGTATTAAGATTGTTTTAAGAATAAATACACGTTTTTTAATATAGTTTCGTTATTTCTTTCAGTTACCCTAAATACTGTAGTTCACATAGAAACACAATAGAAGAATATTTATCAAACTTTGTAGAATCAACAGATGATTTTATTGTTATCGAAGCTGCTAAATGTGCACATGCTATTCAACAGGTATAAGATATAATTGATCATTGAGTGAATTTTTTTTTCATTAATTATTTATCATTATATTGAAAGAACAATGACTTAAGAAGACTGTATCTAACCAACATGAAAATTGTTTACAAAGATTAATATATTAAAATTTAAAAAGTGTCGGTTTTAAATATGTAGTTCAGACAGACACTAATTGTTGCTTTGGCCTTAATGTGATAGAAATATGTGATTGGTGTTGTGTTGTGTTCAGCTTATTTATATATTTAACAGGTCAGGCCACCCCAGGAGAAGACTGCAACAGCTAAAAACTGCTGGAGAGAACATCTTATTGTTCTGTGCAATGTCGCCCACAAACTCATTAGTAAACTCTTCCCTAACACTGTAGACATGTACAAAAATGTTGCAGATTCTCAGGTAATTAAATGAACAAGAACTGTTAAATCTAAAGAAAATATAACTAGAAAAAATTCCACTCTAACCAGGCAGCAGACGGTTCGCGTGGATTTTTTTCTAGTTATATTTTCTTTAGATTTAAACATCAAGCAGTTACATGCTTTAAAATAAGAAAAATTATAAGAACTGTTAATTTAAAAGTGATGTAAATATGGGAACTAAGCTACAATGATTCCAAAAACTGCTTTATAACCAGTTAAATTACCTGTGTAATTAAAAACTCAGAGCTTTTTTGTTTATTGCAGAAACCACTGTTTGAATCTACTTCTACATCTCCATTATATACCGCTTTCACAGAAATAAGTTCCCCAACAACCCAAAATAACATTGTGAATAAAGAACATATATTAAGCACTAAGCTTAAAAATGTGTTAATTTTCCTTCAGGCTGCACTTGTGTGAGTAATCATTTGAATAATAATATTTTTAGACTGTATGACTAATAAATCAATAAAAATATAAATGTTAAAAAAAAACGAACATGTGCTGTTCACATGTGTATTCTGTAAGATGCAATCTCACTTACGATCTCATTTATTCAGATTTCTGACAAATGTCAAATATCTTGTACTTGCTGCTTCTACAGATATAGTGACATATTGCTGTGTAATGGCGTAATGCATATCAGACTTAAGTCTAAAATGGCAGAAATAAAAAAAGTGAGATTTTATTTTACAAAATCGCCCTACAGGTACGTCTAAAAGACAACAACAAAGGTAGGGGCGCTGCTTAGTTTTCATAGTAACTTTGACGATGCGATACATTCATCATATTTATATAGAATTTTACCAACCAATTTGGTGGATCTATCTGTTACCTACCTATTTTTTTTCTTTATCTTGGGTTTTATTTTTTGTCGATTATTTATTCACTAAAATCACTTTACTACTTACCAATATTTTTAACATTTGGAAGGTGTGGATTGTTTAAAAAAAAACAGCCGAGCACGAGTTGGACTCGCGCACAAAGTATTCCAAACTGTTATTTATACAACATAAGACTCTATACTATCAACTCTATAAATCCACGCGGACCAGGCAACAGACGGGACTCGAACCCGTACCCTTCGCAATCCGGGCGAATGCACTGACCAATTATGCTACCACAGCCCTCATGGCCGCGTCGAAATTTTCCTAGCCTTAAGCTGCAAAGCAGCGCCATCTCTTCGCATTGTAGGTAACCCACAATTAATAGGTACTGTTAAAAAATCAAGCTTTAATTAAATTTGATTTATAAAAGACAGAGAACATTTTTCCATCCTGATGAAGATTCGATTGCCACGTCGCCCACGGCTTTATTTGTTACTAGCTATTTTTAATTTCATATCTTGTGTTACCTTTCTTATCTAAGGATTTTTTCGAAATATTTATTTATAAAAAAATATTATTTAAACAATTGCAAACATTGGAATAGTAATTAATGATTGTTGATATAAACCAGAGCCATATTAATAAACAAGTTAGGCACCTACCGTACATTTAATACTTAACTATTCAGGTATTGTAAAATACTGGGCAAAATTAAATATTCTGTACTTAAATTGTTCCAAAAACAAATAATAGCTTTATTTAGTAAAAGAAAAAAACAAAACAATTAACATTAACATCCATGCTCAGGTTTCAAACCACACCTGGCGGGTGCGCGGCCATTCGCAGACGGGTTCCGCGACCACACCCACCCTCTCGGCATGCACTAGGGGGACCGTGGTACTCATAGTGCTTGTCGGGTGACGGTGCAGGAGTATTGTCTGGTTTTTAGTGGCCCTGTTCAGATCAGCGTGCTCCAGGGCTGGCTGAAGAGAACAGGGAGGAGTCCCACATACCTCCTTCTCGCTCCCCCAGTGGTTGAAGGATGCGTAAGGCATTTTCCAGACACAAAAAAAAAGGTTTCAAACCACCAACCACTTGCCTCGACCTCAGGAGACCGATTAGACCATCTGCCTCTTATAATAACTGATAAAATAACGGATAACTTTCTTGTGTCAAATACTTAATTTCCGTTTCATCAAATCTCAATTCACAACAATACTGATTTTTTTTTGAATTTTGAAATTTCTTTATTTGTATAATAAAAACATAATGTATACACAGTTACATTATAACATGATAGTAATCGATATTAATAGACTATGCAAGGCGCCTTTTTATATCATTCAAACATCGAAAATACACTGTGAAAATCATACATAAATTTACTAATTTAATAGGGAACATCTGTGTACATTATTATTTCACTTTGCGGCGCGAAATAAATACAATATTATGCAAAATAATGTTACATAACAACAATAATAGCAGAGTGTCAATGAGGGTATTTATATTTCCCTCTAATAAACTTGAAAGTAGAACTAACAAGCCATTGCTGCAGCTATGAATACAAACGGAACAAACTCAAGATACCCACGATAGGATTGAAGCTACCGTCGAATAGTCAGTACGGTAGGGTAATTACGTTATTCGAAGTAGTTGAGGAAATAGTGATGAGGCAAACGATATCGAGAATAAGTTTTAGCATAATGCAAAGTGCACAATCGCGATTTACCAATGTTTGAAATTAACTTGTTTATATGATTTGGGTTATTATAAATTTAAAAAAGGGGGGTTATATTTAAAAAAGAACTTTTTTGATGCTTTTAGAATATAACTTTTAATTTGAGGGAAACCAATGTTTTCGTGAAGTTTGGTTAAGTTTGTACGAAAACTGGTATTATAAGCAATTTTAATTGCTTTGTTTTGAATTACTTGGAGCTTCGAATAGTTTGCATTACAGGTACTTGACCAGACAGGGGCAGCATAAGTGATACAGGGTCGGACTAATGTGGAGTATATGCGTAGTTTAGTATCGGGGCTAAGATTTGATTTCCTATTTGGGATGGGGCTTAGTGCGTTCATAGCCCTTATACCTTTAATATGTAACTGAGATATATTTTTTGTCCAGTTTAAGTTTATAATCGAGCACAGTACCGAGGTAACGTACAGACCTGCTCCAGGGAATAATATGGCCATCAGACTTAAGACTTTTCGTAGGAAGTGAACGTTTCCTAGAAAACATTATAGCCTCGGTTTTGTTAGAATTCAGTTTGAGTTTCCATGTAGATAAAAAATTTGTCAGCGTCTCTAATGACCATTGGAGACGTGTAATTATGGTATCATCGTCGTCCGAAGTGGTAAAACTAGCTGTATCGTCCGCATAGCAGGCCAGATAAGTGTGTGGTTGTTTTTTAATATCATTCAGGAATATTAGAAAAAGGATTGGGCCTAAAATAGATCCCTGGGGAACTCCGGCCAGTATCGCGTGGAGTTTAGAATGATGACCTTCGAGGTTTACGAAGAATGATCGACCTACAAGATATGACTTAATTAATTTTACTAGCTGCATGGGGATGCCAATTTCAAGGAGTTTATGAAGTAACCCATCATGCCAAACCGTGTCAAATGCCTTTTCAATATCAAGCAGTATCATACCTGTCGACTTTCCTAGATTGAGGTGGTGTGCTACATGTTCTGCAACCCTCGCCAACTGTTGTACTGTCGAATGACTTTGACGAAAACCAAATTGTTCAGGGATAAGTTGATTATTGAGATAGCCCGACAATCGTTTGGCAATGATAGATTCAAATAACTTACCCAGTGCTGGGAGAAGACTGATTGGTCTGTAGTTTTTAGGGTTTTTATCGTCACAACAATACTAAAGAAGTTTTTACTTCAAAAGTAACAGCTATGTGTATCTAATTAATTAATAGGGAAGATGCAAATATAATATTTATGAAATTTTTTATGATTAAAATATTAAAAAATATAAAAGAAAGGCCACTGCAAAGTTTTTATTTTACATAATGTTGTTTTTTAACAATAATTACGAATTAAAAAGGACTTGAAAAAAACGTATTTTAAAACACCAATCAGCGTTTAGTGACGTCACTCCTGTTATGACAACTTATTTGAGGTTATGGTTATAAAAGTGAATATTATTTTATGGGAATATCAATTGCGTTTTTTTAATAAAAATGGAAGTTGGGTTTATCAAAGCAGACTCCAGGAAATTACCAAGAGTTAGTGTTGATGTCAACAACTTTTTTTAACTTTGAGGTTTTAACTTTTTTTGTCCAATGTGCAGAGTTTTCAAGTGTATTAATAAAAGGGACTAAATTACTATGGTAGGTAGGTATAAATCATAGTTGTTAAACTTTGTATTTTATACAGCGGCTTCTACACATAGCAGTTATTTCAGCTCAAAAAGAGAATCTTACGGCGTAAACGCAATCGGCTATGTCCAAATTAAAAGACATGGAGAATTATGTACTGTAAAAAGTCGAGTTACTCCGGAGCATAAAGTAGGTACGTAAAGAAAGTTATCGTGTTACAGTTATTTTAAATGAAACGCAAAGCTTGGTTCAGTCCTGCCAATGTGAAGATTGTACCACACATTTTAAACTTTATCCAATTTTTGACGTCGTTCTCCAACTGTAAAATTAAAAATATGTTATAGACAGGTTTTGTAAGTATTAGGTAGATTACTAACGCGTTTTTACGTACAAGCAGACTAATTAAGTATATAATAAATATATTCGCCGACTTACATCAAAGTGATCTTCACAACATCAAATAATGGTCTTTGGAAAATAATTGTCATTTCTCTTCCCAGCTTGAAACCACTTTTTTCTCAATTTTGGGTCAATTAAATTAATTCAATCAAAAGTCAAAAACAATTTATTTGGATATATTGTTGAAGTAGATTGTAGAGGCACAAAACATAAGTCACACGGCTTGTTTTCTGAATATTAGTGGTATTGTTATGATCACCTGATGTTGATGGATAGTCCATTTTAAATTTTTGCAATAAAATATCTCGAAAGTCGAAAAAATATGCAAAAGTATGAAAATTGAAAGCCAGCGACGAACAAGTACGACCAGTGACAGACAGGAGTGACGTCATCGGAAACATAGGTCCGTTTTCGCGCGAAAATTTAAACTGTCAATTTAAAACCGCATTTTTTCCGATAAATTACAATGTTTTAATTTTTTAATATATGTGTGGTTTATTCTACATGGAATTCTTTAAAATGAAAACAAAAATAAAAATATTGCATCTTCCCTATTGAAATAGTGATGTTTTTAGGATCTGCGTAAAATATTGTATTAAATATTTTAAATTGTTACAGAGAAATCTATCCTGTTGCTAAACCTATCCAGCCACAACTCATTTTACAATTACTAGTACGAGCTTTAAGTGTTTCCAGTGGTTCTAAGATAAATTTAGATCAATCCACTGTGGCTTCTATTAAAATTCAGGCTCTAAGGACCATAGATGCATTGAGTGCTTGGTAAGCCTGTTTATTATTGAGTTATTTGAAATATTATTTTATACTTAAACTATTTTCATTCTTTTTATATAATATTTATTCAAATTATTATTCATCTTACAGCTTAGGATCAAATCTTATTCCATTTTCGGCATTAATCTTCAAAATCGCCATACAAACACTTCAATGGTGTACTGACAATCCTAATGAAGAATCAAGGTAAATATTCATACATTTAACTACAAAAAGCACACAATGTGTTCATATAATTTCTTTTAATGATAAGTACTGTAGAATTTATTATGAAACCCAATTATGGTTGCAACAAATTATTTGAGTTTGATTAAGTGAGGACTTTAAAATATCAAGTTCGTGTTTGTGTACCCTTACATTAGATTTGACGAGCTCGATAGCTCAGACGGTTAAAGCGTTCATCCTGTGATCGTGGAAGTTAAGCAACTTTTGAATCTTGTTTTCCCACCACTTGTTCAGGACATCTTTTAGCTGACAAGAAGAACAGGCAAAAGAAACTTTAAAGTAGCAACATTTACATAAAAATATGTTGTTACCAATGCAATGGTTAGAATTCATTACATTCTTTATGCATTATATGGATCAAGAATAATTTAAATTGCATTGTGGATTCGTCGACACGACGACTTTAAATTAGAAAATTATGGAAAAGGATGTGCTATTCCTAGAACAAGGCCCGGAAAGAAGTAGAAGAAGGCATGTTAAGCCTTTGGTCCCGGCGGCGTCTGCAATCGTTAGTACCCACCAATCCACTTTGGGCCCACGTGGTGGATCACGGCCCAATCTCTCTTCCATTCATAGGGAAGGCCTGTGTACCAGCAGTTAGGATATTAATAGACTGATGGTGATGATGATGAAATTCCAGTCAAGATTTCTTAATGTGAGAAAGACATACTTTTCATCTTTTTATCACTACAAATATTTAGAAACTGCCAGGCTAATAAAGATCCTTATACAGAAAATAATTCTCTCAATTATCTATCAAAAATAGCATTATTTATGGCGGTATTATGTCGCGTTTGTTAGAAAAGTGCGTTGCGCTGCATACAACAGCCTCGCCCGTTGGCTGCGGCGACTGAAAACGCACCGTATATATGGCGATTCTACCGCCGGCCGATCCTGGGAGGAAACACTAACTACAAATGTGATTGCTGACATCACACCCGCCAGGCATCTAGTTCAACTAACTGTAAGTTAACACTAAAAACGAACGCCAGGCGTCTCATCCATTTCACTTTAAAAAAAACTGTTTATAGAATAGAATATGTTTTATTAACCCTCATTTACATATACTAATTTTAAAATCTCAGGGCTAACCAGGACCCTGCCTCAGCATTAGCTGATGCAACATTGTATCGCCAGTTTATGTGACACCTGCTTTCTTCTATTGTTAATACCAACTAAAATAACACAGTTTATGTGATAAATCTTTATTTCTTGCTCACACACACACGACACGGCCATCAGGGCCGCGGTAGCATAAAACATACATAACTATGACATAAAAAAATACTGATTTATTCTCGATTATTTTATTTAGTTTATTGCGCAATGGCAAATTTATTTATCTATACTAATATTATTAACAAAGATTTGTCTATACAAATCTATATATAGTTATAGAGAATAAACTCAAAACTATTGAGCCAATTTCAAGTTTCGACGAATTGTTTCGCCATTAGGATGCTACTTTATCGCGCTATTTAAGATAAAATTCACCCGTTCAAAGCCGGGGCGAAACGCTAGATATAAAGGCACACATATAAGCTCTATAGGGTGCAAAATTTTCTTTCAGTTGAATCCACAATCAACAAAGAACTTAAGTAAGAAAGCTAAGCGAAGGCTGGCCAATACTATGCTTCAGGAAAGCAGTATTGCCGCGCATGCCCCGGGAGAGAAAAACAAAACCATAATGTGAGTAAATAGGTATAAATAGATACTTCTAGATTCATACATCAAAATTCTTAGTTTAGCATTTTTATAGGTTTAAAAGCTTATCAGATATCTAAATTTTATCTATATTTTTAATGTTTTTATAGGATTAAGTATAACATACAGCCAAGTTTTATCTAGATATATAAAAAATAGCTGCATGTAGACTTTCTAATTCTACAATGGTTAATAATACGCTTTTATTCAATTCTGTACCGCAGTTCGTAAAGAATATTAAGATCCAAATTTCTTAATCTGTTCTGTTGAGGCAAAGTTGGTCGATAAATTTTTGACATTGGCATCGTCTTTATTAAGTACCAATAAGGTCTTCTTCTTCTTCGTGTTCCTCTCCAATTACTGAAGGTTAGACATCAGCCTTGAAAACCTCGCTTTGTCCCTGGCGAGGTGAAACAATTCCGCGGCGCTCTTGACACCGATCCACTCGCGGATGTTTCGAAGCCATGACTTTTTCCGACGGCCTACTCGACGTTTCCCCACAATTTTGCCCATCATAATGAGTTGCAGTAAATCGTATCTCTCGTGTCTGAAGACATGACCGAGGTAGGCAACTTTTCTTGTTTGATGGTCTGCATCAATTTGCGAGTTTGACCGACACGTCTTAGAACTTCGACATTGGTAACTTTTTGAGTCCAGCTGATTGAGAGCATGCGTCGGCAAGTCCACATTTCGAAAGCCTCAATACGTCTACGAAGGTCCTCTTTAATAGTCCAAGCTTCGCAACCATAGAGGACTATAGGCCAAATGTAGCATTGAAGTAGACGAGTGCGCAGGGGAATACTGATATTGCGATTGGAAAGTATTGATCTCATTTTGTTAAAGGCATTGCGGGCGATCTCTATTCGTGTTTTTATTTCCATATCATTTTCCCAGTCTTCAGTTAGCCAAGTGCCTTAATATTTGTATTTGCGCAGTACGTCAAGCTTTACTCCGGAGACATTAATATTTGGACTTAAATTATTTCCTTTTGAGATGACCATGACTTTTGTCTTTTGTGCGTTCATTCTTAGTCCCGCCTTCTTCTTCTTCACTTTTTAAGGATTACATGAAAAATGAATACTTATTCATCATTTTTCATCGTTGTTTGATTGTATGAACCTATGTTAATAAAAATTATTTTTATTTACATAAAAATTAGTAAATAACGTGCGATCGTTTTCTAAAATTAATGCGTTTCTGTTTATTTGTTTTAGATCAGAAGCGACAAATGATGAGGTGGCTATAGCGGCACTTGATTTTGCTGAAACCTTCATTCTTGTCTGTGGATTATTTTTTAAACCTACTACCTGTAAAGTAAGTTAAATCAATGCTTTAAATTAAAGTCTAAGATATGCGACTAATATTAAAAATGTGAAAGTTGGTGTGTTTGTTACTCAATCACAAAAAAACTACTGAACTGATTTCGATGAAATTTGGTACGCATATAGTTTATGACCTGGATTGAGACTTATGATACCTTTTTATACCGGACAATGTTAGGTTGCTATTTGATATTAAAAAAACTAAATTTAACGCGGTCGAAATCGCGGGCAGCCGCTAGTACTAGAATAAATTTGATATGTCTATTAAGTTCTCGTTCGTTTGCATAGTAGAGAGTGCATTGGAAATAATTTCATAATAGTCATATTTTTAAATGACATAGTAATAAACGCCTAAGGCGCTGTTTTTAACACTCATGTGCATTTTTTGAAATGTCTATCATATTTAAGTAAAGTTTAAATTCTTAACCCTAATATAAGTATTACACAAGCCTTAAAAGCCTAAAATACATGCTAGACTTATTGGTGCGAGTGTAATAAATAGTATATTACAGCAGTAGTTAGCAAAGTAGGCATAGGTGGACGAAAGTGTAAATGTAGGCCCATCAATGCTTAGTTGTGGCCTAGGCTTGTAAAGTACTCTTCCCAAATAATACGTGGAAATTATTACCTTTTAAAATCAATTACGAACAACGGACGGACGACCAGGCGCGGCGAGGGCTTCCACCCTTATGTTGTCGAAGTTCCTCCCATTCGCACGAAGCGATTTGCTTCGGCCTTTATTATGCGAACGGCTAGGCAGTGGAACTCCTTGCCGAGATCTGTTTTCCCGGGCCAATATAATCTGGACATCTTCAAGGCCAGAGTGAACAGGCATCTTCTAGGCAGGCGTGTACCATCCTAGGCCTCATCATCACTTTCCATCAGGTGAGATTGTGGTCAAACGCATTGCCTATTATGCATAAAAAAAAAACCTCCGTGGCCGAGTGGGTTGTACGCCGGTTTTCAAGTTGTCGCCTACTCGAGAGGTCCCGTTTTCGAATCCCGGTGGGGGCATATGTTTGTGTGATAATTACGGGCATTTGTACTCCAGTCATGAATGATTAATATGTATTTCTATATAAATAAATATCCTTAAATAAAATATATCTATCCGTTATCCTAGTATCCCATAACACAAGCTTACAGTGCTTACTTTGGGGCTAGGCTAATAGGGTATTTGACAATATTAAAAATAAAGTGCCAATTGTTAGCATCTGTGTTTAGAATGAATATTGGCAGGTATTTTCATTATTTTTACAGAATAAATATTCATAATTTTATTAAAAACCCACGAAAAAGGTAATACTTTTCTTATCGATTGTCACGTGACCCAAAACGCTTGTGATTGGCGGAGCCTAAAATGACGTCACACGCAAGTAAACTTCCTGTTAAAGTGACATTACATTGTATCGTTTGACGTTTTAATAACAGTCGTGTGACGTCACACACCAGTGAGACGCCATATTGTCCAGAGAAACGTTTTCGAGGCAACTTGAAAATGGAGTTTTTGATTTGGTTATTTTAACTGAAATACACAACAGAATGAAAAACGTGAGATCGTTTTCTAAAACTTTCCAAATACCGTATTGGGTAAGTGTTATAAATATTTATTTTATGTATTTCTTTAAGATGTTACAAGAACGGTTAGTCAAAGAGTGCTACAATTGCGACAATCACTCACTGGAGCGAAGTCTGTCGCTGCTTCGAGCACTTGAAGCGTTGCGTAAAGGCGGCCCTAGCACTGTGGCCCCGCCTACTCAGTACTGCCTGCAGTTATATAGCAAGCTAATAAACTCTGAACAAGATCAGGTAAGTTTTAATCTAAACAAAGTTTTTCCTAGAAAAAAAAGCGAATGTGCTTATGACCACACGACTGAAATTAAACTTCTTTAGCTCCAATGATCTGAAAATCATAAACTTAACCTGAAGATTTGTTGATAGAAAAAAAACCACCAATCCGCGCTGGGTCCGTTATCACCCACCAATCCGCGCTGGGCTTGTTATCACCCTCCAATCCGCGCCGGGTCCGTTATCACCCTCCAATCCGCACTGGATCCGTTTTCACCCACCAAACCGCACTGGGTCCGTTATCACCCACCAATCCGCGCTGGGTTCGTTATCACCCACCAATCCGCGCTGGGTCCGTTATCACCCTCTAATCCGCACTGGGTCCGTTATCACCCACCAATCCGCGCTGGGTCCGTTATCATTCACCAATCCGCACTGGGTCCGTTATCACCCACCAAGCACTAGATTCATGTATTTTGTGATGGGTATTGTTCATTGTTTACCGATGTACCGAAATAAAGTACACTTTCGAGATAGTAAAAAAAACGGTCCGAAAATGAACTCTAATTCTGTCGCCATAAGAAACTGACTGTCAAGATCGAATTCTTTATTAGCCGAAATATACGTATAAAGGCGGCCCTAGCACCGTGGCCCCACCTACGCAGTACTGCCTACAGTTATATATAGCAAACTAATAAACAACGAACAAGATCAGGAAAGTTTTTCCAAAAAGAAATTTCAACGCAGCCTGCAAACCGGTATGTTTCAATAATAATTAATTAGGTCCCCTCAGTTACTTAGGTTAATCAAATAAAGTACTCTATCGATCTAGTAGAAAAGTGGTCCGAAAATTAACTCTAATTCTATCTCCATACGTCATCGTCCAAATAGCCGAACAAATTAAATGTATGTAAAAGAAAAAGTGCTTACTGCCTCCCCTACCCCGGACTCGGTGTGATTGTAGATAGATAGGTGTTAAAGCGTCGGCCCACGCAACTGCCTGCAAATGTACTACAGGAATGTACTTGGCTTTTTATGAAATTTTATATGCATATTCCGTGGGTCTGAGAATCGGCTACTGGTGTCGATTCTGGCGTGATTCTCTAAACTTAAAGCTAAATTTATAATATTTCTGTCCATTTCTTTCTGTATAGAGAATGACTAGGCTACACTGTTGTCAAATTTAAGTTTAGGTTTAGATAATCATGCTACAATCGATACCATTATCTATTTTTCATATCCCTAAGTGATAATGGTTGTCCACCTGTAACGTGGTGTTCTGAAACCTACAATGCGCTTTCGCGCCAAAATTCAAACTATTGGGTATTGTAACGTAGTGTTCTCATATGGGTTAGGAGGAATGTTATCCCAGAAAATTGATAGTACACTACGTTACACACCCCTAAAATAATTTTGGCATTTTTTTTTTATAATGTGGTATTAAAAAATACATACGACCCTAAATTTTCTCTTCTACCATCTGCCCCTATTTTTATGGCGGTACAAAGTTCGCTGGGTCAGCTAGTCTTATATATAAAATTCTAGTGTCACAATGTTAGTTACCATACTCCTCCGAAACGGCCTAACCGATTTTTATGAAATTTTAAGTGCATATTCAGTAGGTCTGAGAATCGGCTACTATCTATTTTTTCATACCCCTAAGTGATAAGGGTTCTCCACCTCTAATATATATTTTTATTTATTTGGATATTTTTTTTATTTTAATGTGTCATTAAAAAATACTTACAACCTTATTTTCACCCTTCTACCTTCCTTTTATGGTGATACGAAGTACTCTGAACCTGCTAGTAGTAATATAAGTATTTTACTCAAAGACAATGTAAGGTAAAAACACTATTATTACTTTCTCTAGATATCGAGATTTTGCTCGGAAGCGTTGTTAAACATCAAAATGCATCTTCACTGCGCCCCGCCATCTTTAAGTTTCGCCCTAGAATCGCAAGAAAAAGAGAAGGAGTCGAAAAAGAGAAAGAAGATCTCCGAGAAGAATCGAGCCGCTTTGGCTGCATTACTAGGGAAACAAAGGTAAGTACATTATATATATATACATATTAATATTCTTAGGCTGAAAGAAAATGACGGCGCAATACAACTGTTAGAATATATTTACACTAAACATAAGCCTAATCAAAGCAACTCACTCATTCTAATTTAACAAAACCCTTGAATATCTTTTCCTATAGTAACTAAATTACAAAAGAGGGTATACATTCACTGTTGAAATTCACTTAATAGCTTTGTCTTCGTAGTATACAAATTAAGTTAATAATCATAGCTAAATATGTTTGCGCAGAATGCCGGCCGAAGACAACGACACTGAAGAAATAATTGACATTTCTGATGAACCGACTAACAAGAAGACACGAACATCAACAGAAATGGATAAAATAAGTGTGAGTAGTGACTCTGATGATGCTATGGTGATAGAGGATGATGTAGATGAAGGCGAAGCAATTAATGAATCCCCTCATAATAATGACAATAATGAAAGTAGCTCTGAAGAAATTGAATTAGTTGTCGAAGTTGATTTAACTTCTAACACACATGATAAGGTAACAAAAGACCTGGAAATCCAAGAGGTAACTGACTCAAATGGAAAAGACGTAACAAATGTAGAAAATTGTGAAGACGATAATGTACAAGTTGCTGAAACTTCCGAAAATGCAGCTGTGACTGAAGAAAATGTTGTTACAGATACTCGTGAAAATGTAACGCAAAAATCATCTGACACTAATATTCATGATCTTGCTACACAGATACCTCTTAATGTTTCTAATGATACTGTCGATAATGGTCGTAGCCCTCTTTCTATGGAAGTATCCTATGATTTCCCGAGCACAGGTAAAGAAAAAGTAACCATTCTAGACAAGATTGAAGATGAGAATCTTCCAAGCACGAATGAAACTGACGATATCCAAATAACTTGCGGTCAGGTTGTGGTGAGCTCTCAAGATGTAGAAGTTGAGAAAATTAAAGAAAACGGTGTTAATGAAAATGTTGAAATCAAACTAAATGGGGATAAAACCCCAGAAAAAGAATTAGACACGCATGAATTAGTAGAAAGTGGAACTGAAAAAATATCAGCAAAAGATGTAAATGTAGATGATATGCTAGCTGATTTTGTTGACGAAGTGGTTGAAGAAAACGTTACTAACGCATAATGTGCGTAAATTTAAGAGAATTTATTATAATTCATAATTTTTTTATCGTACTGCTTTGTTAAGGTTTTCATTGTTACTGTATTGCAGTGTTAATAATATTTATATGAATATATACCAGCTTCGATTATTAATTTATAATTGCTTTTCAATTTCAAACTGTTACCCAACCAATATATTCTATAGAAATGTATACCTTATCCGTGCGGTGACGGAGAAAGAATACTACTCACCGCCCCTTCTTTTCCTGTGGGTGTCGTAAGAAGGATATGGGAGATACTATCCGTTCTTCTGGTGGTAACACCCGCCTGGTTTGTTACCACCGTGCGCATGGTGTAAAGCCCGAGAAGTCTCTCGCGCGTTTCGGGGTCAGCCATCGTACAACCAGAGCTCGAGTAGGGGTTGTCGCGACAGATTCGGTCCAGGGGAGGCATCCGTCGAACCGATACCGGGAGGACTGCATCGACCCGACGGCCAGGGAGATCCATAGAAACAGCTGTCCCGCTGGTAGCCCGTGGCACAGTACAGGGGCCCGAGCGATCCTAGCCAGTTTTGCGAAGCTGCCCCATCATATCACGCATATTCTCGGGGTAGACCGTCGTGCCGGTTGGTGACGGCGGCGCATCTCCTATTCAAGCATCATTGGGAGAAACAAACCTCCCTAATTTGCCGTCCTGTCGCGGCAGCAACTAAAGCAAAGTTTGGACGTACAGCAGTGCACATCCGCCTTCAACGCTGTTTCAAAATACTGTTTTTGAACAATACCCTTTTGTTTGTGACGTGCGAACTGTGCTTGTTGTACAAGACGCAGGTGCAGTCTTGCATGGAATATTGCTCGCACCTCTGAGATGGCTCCGCCAAAACTTGCTCGATACTTTGGATTAGATAGGTTACAGCGGCGTGTGATCCGCATCACAGGCAATGAGGAGGTGTCTAAACACGTCGAGCCTCTTCAATTATGCGCATTCTATCGTCTATAACTCGGTGTGTTCTGAGTAGTTATGCTCCCTTATTCCAACTTCCCCTTTCCTTCAGAGGACTACGGGCTCTGGCCACGCTGTCGACGCTGGCAACTCATACAAACAAGTTTGGGGACTTATTTCTTAGTCGCACTATCCGTAAATGGAATGCTCTGCCAGCTCACGTGCCCCTCCCTCAGAAACTGAACTGCTGTACCAGCTATCTTCGCGTCTGGACTTCACCGTCACTTAACATTAGGTAGGGTAAAATCATTTGTCGAACCTATCTATAAAAAACCTAAGTATTTATTATGGCTACATTTACTCATACAGTAGCCTAGTTAGTCCATAAAATGAAATAAAAGAAGCTGTTAACTTAAAATTTGTTTATTTAATATTTTCAGCTTACTTACTCAGTAGTAATTTTCAAATAGGTATTTAACAAATTATATGTAACAAAAATTAGTATATACATTCATTATGTAGGTAAAAAAATTTAAACAGATATTCACAAAAAAGTTTTGTCTTGCTGTTAGATGTGTAACTAGAGTTACAGTTTAATTCATCTTTGCTTTTCTGCAATATTATTATGTAAAGCGATTAGTATTGATAATCAACTCATTTCTTAAACTACTGTAAAACTAAATATTGCTCTGAGTTACACTTTTTTTGTCCCATTAAGCGCGAATGGCCTAATGACTATTCCACCTAGAAAACCACGGTTGTGTATTTACTCCCAACTTTCAAAGAGCAAACACCAAAGCCAAGAGACACCTTCTTCCCTGCTACAGAACTAAGTTCTACTGCACGATTTTTGCGTGTGGAAACCAACTAATCCAGAAGGCACCAAACACAACTAGGTGCTTTAGTGTATACAATCTGATAGATGAGTTATAGTCAAGACCTTGCCAGCGGTATGGTTAATCACTCGTAGAATCATCAAGGGTCAATCTGCAAGTAATTATAACTTTACAAATCACAATACTTATATGAACAAAATGGCAATCTATTTGGTAGTTTCAGAAAAGTATTCTTATTCGACTGGAGATTTGTCTCTGCTCAGAATTACTGTAAAATAACAGTATTCCTAATCATTTTATTTATCATATTTTTTTTTCTCATTTATATCGCGTTTATTTAAGAAGTCGGTACTTTCTAATATTAAACTTACCTCCTTTCTATCCTTTTCAATACAGTTGTCATTTCTCCCAAAATAATTACTGCTCGTCTAATAGATTCACTATTCGCTTTTTCAGCTTTAGCCCGTACTTGAGCTGCTACAACTAGTTTTTCTATGGCTGCTGCCGCCGTGAGAGATCTCCGACGTATTCTTCGCTTCCCGATTCTGTGTCTTGGATTATTAGTATTGCCAGATTGAATTCCAGAGGTATTCTTAGAGGGCTCCTCTGATGCAGTGGAGCTCGAGAGGGCTGGTGATGCTTCCCTACTCTGAGTATCGTCACTTAGAAGATTCTGGAAGGATGTTATATACAATTTGATATTTACATCATATTTTTATAACAGTGGGAGCGATATTGTTCCCAATATCCTTGGCTATGTTTGTAGATAGGTATAATGAGGATCATTACTAGGTCAGGAAATCAACTCAAAATCATCATTATAATGATCTAATAAGCTTTTTAATTAATATACTTTTTAAATCATCGAAATCGGTTCATTATTTGCGATTTTATAACTAATTTTATAGTAGCCAATATTCACTACGCACGCTCGCGCCCGAACGCTAGAGCTCTATGACGTCACAGCCACCACGCGGCCAGCCGAAATTCCGTTTAGTAATTTGGTCATAACTTCGTCAATATTTGTCGTAGAACAAAAATTTAACCACAATATTTTATGGAATCCTTAGCTCTATAAATCTACTAAAATCATTACAGATCCTCATTGTAACGAAAAAAAAGTGTTTTTATAATAAAAAAACAACACTTTTTCAACTGTTCTCAATAAACAGGAAGATAATTCTTCCTCTTTATTGAGAAAAGGAGTAAAGTACCACTTACATTATCATCCATGTCCATGTTCATCCATAGTGTTTTGAAAGGGGTCTCCGCCCCTTCTTTACTAGTTGTAGGTTGCGATGGGCTGTTGATGGCAGGATGAGGACTATCATTCAATAAAATATCAGGTTTCTGAAATATTTATACAATATCAATACTTTATATATATATTATGTGTGTGAGCTTTAGAACAATAATCCAATCCCAAGTACTTAATACCTATTTGTGATTCATGTCTTCGAAATAACATCTACTCAACACCAATATCATTACAACTTCAACTATCGAATTGGTATCAACGAGTCGTAGACTCGTAGGTTACCAGTGGACAACTTGGCGTCAATGAGCGGGCAACAATGCGTCGTTCGTCAACGAATAGGTATCGTCTGTCAGCGTGCTCGTCCTCACCTATCAGATATATCTGTTAGTATTCGCATTTTTTATCTATAGCAATGTTTAAGCGCTAGCCGCAAGCACGTTGTTCATTCGTGGTTGATTCATTCCTTACTCCTTGATGATGCGTATCTAATGAGGATGAGTCAATAGATACGCATCGTCAATGCATGGACACAACAAATAGTGTCAAATTACATGTTCTAAAGTTCACTCTTGGACATAAAGCTTATATTTCAATACCATACTGTTACAAAGTGGAGTTGGTGGTGAGTTAGTTTAATGTGTTTTAATAAACTATATGTCAAATGTGATGGCTGATAAATTGCCCCAAAGGTGTTTATTATAGATTGAGTACTAAAAAATCCTAAACTTCATTTATTTAATATAAATTAATAGCTTTTTTTTTTGATATACAAATTATAGGAATTTCAAAAGCACCAACTTAGATGTTTTATTATTTTGGTCTACTTATGTTTGATTCCTTGTTACTTCAATACATCCTAGATTTGAAGTGCTTTGTTTTTTGAATTGATTTTCATCTAGTACATTTGTTAAAAATACTTCTTTTTATTTTATAAGGGTGGCAAACGGCCCAAATATATATATATATATATATGGAAAAATTTATCAACCATATCCATTCTATTCTTCTATTTGGGTTGATTTTATAAGACTAATGAATTACACTTATGTGTAATTTTTTCTTTCTAAATAATATTGATAATTTCGTTAAACTTCAGCAAATTACCTGTTCATCAGCAGGTAGTGCCTGAATCCCAAGCAAATTACTTCCATACTTCTTACCCAAAATACTCAAAAAATTCATCTCAACTTCTGAAAGTGATAACTCAGTAGTACCTTGCTCATTCGCTGAATCATGAACCTGTTTTACTTTCCTCTTCAGTTTTGCTTTAAAATCCACCCAGTACTAGAATTAAAAGTAATAAATAACATAGCCTCACACTACAAGAAAACTAATAAAAAACTTAAATAGGTAAACAACGTATTTGAGTAAAGATATTTTTTGTAAGAAAAATTTTACTCTGCCATGGTGGCAAGCTCGATTCAAACCAGTGACTTTTAGAGTTAGAGTTCAGCCTGTTATATTACAGACTTTATTATTACCTTAGACCACCCTGCTCCTGATTTCTTGGCACCTTCACTAATGGAATTCAATTTTTTTGCAAGTTTCTGCCAATGACGCTTGCTGTTCTCACGGTCGTATGCGCTTTTGTTATAGGCAACTGCTAATTCTCGGTGATTCTTTAGAAACTCCCACATACCGATTAGTTGAGTATAAGATACCCGCTTTTTACTTTGTACGCTCAACCTGAAATAAGCATAGCTCCTTACTTATTTTATAGGATTGGACTATTGAAATGTTAAGACAATACTTACGACATTATGATTACAAATAATAATTACTCTCACAAAAAGGATCAAGGGCAGTGAAGAGTTAATTTATAAATTCATAGCTACAGCAAAATTTAACGAACATTTCACGATAAAATTCATAAATAATAAAGAGTAGAGTAGGACGAAAGTGTAGGCATGCGTCCGATATATCAAAACGAATCCAAAATCCGATTTGAATCACAAATCGATACCGAACGATTTCTCAACAAGAAAATCCGATTTCAGAAATCTAACCGAACCAAAACGCTAGCGATCTAATACCACCACAAGTATCCAAATGTAAATCGGATTCGAAATTCGTGCTTTCGTTTTCGGAAGTCCGTTTTCGGTTTGCTGTTTACGGAAATCTATTGCTCTTCTCTAAGGCGGGATTATTTATCACTGAAAAGAGATGCCGTCTAAGAACATCAAAAGTCGAGCAACTTACATTTTAGAACGCTAACCTGAAGTAATAAGGTTTAATTTTGTAAATGGTTTGCAAAATAATAAAAACAAAAAAAAAATATGTAAAAAGAAATCATTGTATATAAGCCGATTTTTAAATGCGCCGCAAAAGTTTTACTCTTAACCCTAAACATAACTTTTCTGATAGTCCTAAGCCTACATTTAAAGCATGAAGGAAATCTACGAGTATCTTTGCGTTTGTGATTGTCGTTAGCTAATAAAACCAAATCATAACACAAACTAGTGAATTGGCTTAGTTCGGCACATCTGAAATCGGATATCTAAAAACGGATTTTAAAATCGATTTTGAAATCTGAAATCCGATAAATATCCGTTTGCATTCAAAACCAAAAACGCCCATGTCTACGAAAGTGTACTCTACTAAAGAATGAACGTTGAATGTAACATTGACATAGGAATGAATGAGCCATGAGCACAGATTGCGTTTCCTCGTGAGTTAAGCTGGCAATAAACATTACGTTTTGACAATTAATTAAAATCTAAGCCAAGCAAAGCTTAGTATAAAAATTTCAGCGTTGATTAAAAATTAGTGGCAAATTATTTTTATTCATACCTAATTAGGTATGTAGCACGCGATATTTCGTGCAGCTATAAAGTATAACATAGACTATGTTGTTGTATGCTGAATGCACCTTTACTTTAAATTATGTAGACAAAAATCGAAAAAAAATCTGTGATTGAATTTTGCTTGCTGTCACAGTGACGTGTACACGGTGTAGGTAATTTGATTTGTAGTGAATATTGTTCATAATTTTAGTATAGGTACTATTTAATGTGAATAAAAAGTAGATATTAACTGAAAATGTCGACTAAAAGTAAAGTGGGTGATAATAAAGGCAAAAGCTCTGAAATTGTATGGAGGAAAGCATTCAAAGCTAATGCAGAATGGCCAGACAAGGTTAGTTTTCAATCACGGGACTGTCGTCGATAATTTTTTGAGTTTTGTATTGACCTAACCTTTTGTTTAAGGAGGAATTTCTGGATGTAATTTATTGGATGAGACAAGCCATGGGCATAATTTTGGGCCTTTTCTGGGGTTTGTTGCCTCTGAAAGGTTTCCTAGGTTTATTATTGTAAGTTTAAAAACATTTTTTTTTTTTCATCTTTCTTGTTACCTTTTAGGCTTTTATATATTGATAATATTTTCCAGGTTCGTAGTTGTAAACGCCGCAGTAATATACTTTTATGTTAGTAATTTCCAAAAAATTGATGAAGAAGAGTATGGTGGTATGTGGGAGATCACGAAAGAGGGATTCATGACCTCATTTGCGGGTTTCCTGGTCAGTATGCTTATATTAAAAATTCCCTTGAATAATGTCGACTGGATTTCTATACATATAGTGGCACTACCAAAAACATTTATTTCACAGGTAACCTGGATAATAGTGTTTACTGGACTTCATGGCAGTAACAGTTTATGAAATCTACAAAATCCTTAAAGTGTGTAATGGACAGCCAATAGCCAAGTCTTACTGCCAAGAAACTTGTAGTACAGTTGTATGCAAATGATTTATACAGAAAGTGTTGTCTCAAGTGTGTATATGATTATAATTATATTATTTTTATTGTTTCTGATTATTGTTTAATCTTACAATTAAACAGTTGGTTTTTTTATACAAGAGTGTGGCAATTCTAACTATCAAGATTATGTTCAGCTTTTGTGTTTGTACTTTTACCAGAATACTTGAACATTTGTTCTAAGTATTCTAATCATCAAGATAAGGCAAGATTAAAAGTTAAATGTTAGCAGTTATTAATTATCAAAATATTTCCACTGTTAGCAACAATGCATCTCTTTTAACTCTGGTATTATACATATGAACAACAGTGCTATTTCTATATATTACAAATGATACAAAAAATATTGTAAGGAAAAATAATAATAGTTGTTAAGTTTTATTTTATTTCAGATTTGAAATCATTTTTGTTTAATTCAGAAACTAAATGTTACAATGGTAGTTTAGTTATATATTGTTGTGTACCTTATGTTTCTGATGAATTCCTTACATTTGAACAAATATTAAACCATTAGATTTTGTTTTTTTATGCCTTAGTAGCAGATACAACTACATATTCATTCCTAGAACCATTTTAGCATTGTATTATATTATTATTGTTGAGAGCTATTAAATAAATTGTAATAAAACAAAAAAGTAGAAAATAAAGCATTTAATCATTCCTCCATGTCACTAGAACATCATCCGTTCTATATCTCTGTGTGATTGTAGTATCCTTGAAGTCCATCCTTGCTCCAGACTCAAATGCTAAAGCGCCAGCATGTGCAATCATCACTCCATTGTCTATACAGAATCTTTCATCTGTTGCAAATATCTTGCTGCCTCTCTCTGCACACATAACACCCATCATTTCTTGCAATCTTTCATTGCAACCTACCCCACCTACAATAAGAACCTGAAAAGATGTGTAATATAATATCATGATACATAACAATGTATTACTCATTTAACCTACATTTGCTTAATAAGCAGTGCAAAGTGACACCAACATTAAAAAAATATTGGCTAGTACAACTTATTATTACTTAATATAGTCTCAAAATAAACACTATTGTTTAGTTGATTGTACCTCATCAGATCCACAGTGGGCCATGGCTCTTTCAGTAATTTCTACAAGCATGGCAAATACTGTCTCTTGCAATGAATAACAAAGGTCTTCTGGAGTGTATTCTTTAAGAAGATCATCTATTTTATCTTCCATATATGACAATATTCCAGAGAAGCTAACATCCATTCCTGGAATTAAAAAAAAACATCTATATTTAACATCTATGAAAATGGTGGTAGAAAATTATATCTTAACTGAAATTAATTTGTATTTACTGAGATAGGAAAGCAAGCTGAACTATTTCAATTTCATAGTTGGGAACATGATATGTTTTTTCACATTTCACTCAGAAGGGAAAATCGAAAAAGAAATAATTTGCTGTGGTTTAGAATGTACCATGGTACCAAAGATAAGTAAGTCTTTAGTTAAAAATAATTGTTAATTCGTAGCAACAATAATTACCTTTGACACAATAAGGCAGATGTAAATATTTTTTTCCTCTTTTAGCTGCCTGTTCAATGTTATATCCAGGACTTGGTGCATTAGACAACTTGAGCACTCTTGCAAACCTATTATTAAGATATATTTTTACTTTTAACAAAATAATTGTATCAAAATGTTATAGTAAAGAGCAGAAATAAGCATATTTTTGAAGAATAAGTAGGTAGCTACAGTTTCATCCACATCTCTCTCTACTATATTATTATTCACCTGTCTAAACAATTACCAACAGCAATGTCTATAGTCTCCCCAAATATCCTGTATCTTTGTCTGGAATAAGCAATAATCTGTGTATTTCCACCACTAACATAGAGTACAGTAGGGTTATTAGCTTTTGTTATTAACCTACCCATTTCAATATCTGTATTGGACTGTTCAAGGAAAAATTATAAATAAATACCAATAAATATTATTTTTTTAAAAAGATATGTACAATACCAATATGTGCTGGTAAACATTTTAACTTTGAAAAAGGATACGTCCTATACAATGGTTAACTCCAAGGATTGGTTTATTCCATAACTTAGCGCAAGTCCTGGCTACAATTGCACAGACCATGAGAGGTGCCCCCATCCCAGGCCCTTTAGTGTAACATACAACATCTATATCTTGTGGTAGTATTCCTGACTGTTCCAAAGCTTCTTCTAACACTCCATGGATGTTTTGTTGATGATGTTCAGCAGTTTCCCTCGGTAGAAATCCTAAAATAGCATAACAATAACTAAATGTCATGCATTTATTGTATATTGGGCTCTGATGCTCCCCTGGCAAAATGGCTCGCTCTACTAGAGCTGCTTTTGTCCTCTGCCTGCTTAAATTCAACTTCAAATCAATGACACTAATGCAATCATTTATATTTAGTATAGCAATATTTGGTCACGAATTTTTGAATCCAAACTATCCACTACCAAAAAATTCCTACAATATAACCTATTTTTGTTTTACTGTAGCTTCTACTTTTTACTAAGAAATCTAACCTTCTCCAGGAGGTGTGATGTAAGTTCTTCTACAGTTTGCAAGTATTTCACCATCTCTTACGATGCCGACACCAAGTTTATTTGCACTGCCCTCAAAACCGATAGCAATAACCATGTTCTAGACTAATTGTAAACTTTAAGAAGACAACAAATAGTCAAGTGTGGCGCCCTGTCGCACTCTTCTCCTATATTATGTAAATAAACCACTGAGCAAGTAATCTATACAATAAACATTTCGATAAACTTGCTGTTTACCAAAAATTTTGTCGCCAAACATGAAGAAATTAAATCAGAATTTGACAGATGACAGAAAGCATGTGATCCACAGACTATTGTTTTTTTTTTATTAATTCATGACCATGGATACAAGTTCTTCAATCGTATACATAAATACAAATCATAATCTTCTATTGTTTACATTAGAAATCGGTGTGACGCATTCTAATGTTTCTTGGAGTGTTTGGCACGAAATTTATAGAGTTGGTTTTTTCGATTAGCTTCTTTGAGGTAGTCAACACTACAATAAAGTTCCCATCTCACGTCCACTTGACCGGAATAGAGTATATTTTAAAGATTTCACAAATCTTCAGTTGCGCAGATGGTTGTAACACAAAATCACACCAATTTTATTTCACAATATCCACTATGAACGAATTTAAGAATAATTAAAATAAGACGCCAACCACACTCGATGAAATCCCGCCAAAAACTCCCCCGACCATTATGAGCAGGGTCAGGGTTGCCGACCTTAGATTTTTTTTACCTCGTACATAAGCAGCTAAAAATCTCGTATTGTAGCTTTCGAGCGTCGTACATTTTTTTAAATTTCTTATTTTAAAGGATTTTGTCTTTTATAGACCATGTCACCCATATCGTTTTAACATTCTATCGTCTTAACAGATTGATATGATTTTATATAAAACCTTACTTGTTTTAGAAAGGAGACTAGATAGTAGTGTCGATTCCGGCAGGATTCTTTTAACTTAAAACTAAATTTGACATCAGTCTGTCCTTTTCAGTCTGTATAGAGAATGACAGAGATACACTGTTGTCAAATTTAAGTTTAGCTTTAGAGAATCATGCCAGAATCGACACCAGTATGCTGTTATATAAACCAACATCCATTACTGTCAGCTCCGGGAATTAGTTAAAAACAACGAGCGAGCCTTACAGTAGTCACGTATTATGTGTAACATTTGAAACCTCACCTTATATTAGTAAAAAAAGAAATAAAACCTACTACAAAAGGAATAAGCCATTTGAACAATATGTTCTAAAATCAAATAAAATAGCACGCGCTTTCGCGACTTCCTGTTACACACTTCCGTCCCATTTCACGAAATCACTCCCACAAATTACAGGAAAGCGAGAGGAAAGATGCTACACATCAAAAATGGTATCTTTCTACGACAACCATCACATGCCACACACCTTCGACCATCTCACACTAAGTACAATTCGGTGAGTTCACTTTTCGACTTTTCTCGTCAAATACCCAAAGCTATTTAAAGGTATGTGATCAGATTGGAGTCGTACATTCTTAAGTATATCAAGTGTAAGGCATATTAAAATATTGACGCACGTTTGCTACTAAATAAAACATCAATTAAAAATAATCACATATTACATAAAATAACAAAGAAAAACGGGCACAGCCAGTTTTCCGCTCGAATTGGAGCTTCCGTCTGGGGAAGACCACAGTGAGATAACAGTACCTTTTGGTGGTGTTGTGTTTCTGCTGGTGAATAGAGTTCCATGGCACCATGAGGTAGAGGATTAGGTTGAGGCCGGCTAGGTGGATATCGCAGGAGCGGTACACTTTCTGCTGCATAATCTACCTTCGCAACTGGACTCCTTAAACACTTAACATCAGGTGGGGTAATTTGTAACACCTCGTATAAAAAAATATATATGGATATATGTGGTTAGATGGCGTTGTTATATTTAGTGGTAGAGCTAAAGGTGTTTCTGGTGGTAGGCTGCGTTCCAAGTTCATACATTTATGTTAAAATCAAAGGCGTCGGTGTAAAAAGATGCAATCAAGCGTAGATTTGGAAATCATGGTTCGCATTGTAAAATATTTACCTTTAAGGTGCTGCTTCGCTTAACTTAATACTTCCTCTACATACTATCCACATGCGGTACACACATAAAAAAAAACCTCTATCTCCATCTCCTAGTGTACAGCGCTGTCCCGCATGCTGGATATAGAGAGTATACGTAGAGGACTTTTTATGTTTAAAAAAGTATACCAGAATCGGTCCCAATCTAAGTCTATGTTCCCATGTACTTAGTTTAATACCTCCAATGAACACAGATCACATGCCACGACCCCCAGTTCCCGGCAGCCCCGCTATTCCTGGTCACGGTGGCGACCACGGTAACGGCGGGGCGGGGGGTGCTAAGAATCTCCGGGCTACGGGAGGCCACCACAATAGACTGACCCTGGTGACGTACAACGGACGCACGCTACGGTTTGACTCGCATCTGACGCAATTCGAGGTGGAATTTGGGAAGATTAGGTTGCACATTCTAGGGTTAAGTGAAGTCCGAAGAGAGGGGGAGGGCACCATAGCCCTCGAATCGGGCCACCTAATGTACTTCCGTGAGGGAAACCAACAGTCCCAAAGTGGCGTTGGGTTTTTGGTAAGTAAGTCCCTTACCGATAACGTTGTAGAAATGTCAAGCGTGTCGAACAGGACAGTGTACCTTATTATAAAGCTCACCGAGAGGTACAGGCGCGGTCCGAAGGGGAGGTCACAGGGGACATGACCCCCCCCCCCCCCCAAATCTAAGGTATAGCCTCAAGGTGGTGCAAGTGTGCGCACCGACAGGGCCGGATTTAGAAGTGTGGGGGCCCTGGGGCAACAAAGGAGTGGAGGCCCCTAAATCTAGGCCCGACCTCTTACGTTTAGCAACCCCAAAGGGTTTGGTGACCTCTGTTGTGGGGGCCCCTGGGCCACAGCCCCACCTGCTCTGTCTTAAATCCGGCGCTGGGTAAAGGTAAAAGAGCAAAAAAAAAAATCATAGGATAAGATGTTTACTGGTGTTTACTAGTTGGAAATTGAAAGATTTTTTTTCCGAAGTATCTATTGCGGGGGCCCCCCGTTTGTGGAGGCCCCGGGGCTTTCGCCCCGGTTGCCCTCCCCTAAATCCGGCAGTGTGCACCGACCTCGACGCACTCGGACGACGAAGTGGAGGATATGTTCGATGATATATCGAAGGCCCTCCACTACTAAGACTCACTACAACGTTGTTATGGGGGACTTCAACGCTAAAGTGGGAGTACAGAATTGCAACGAAGCGGCAGTAGGATCCCATGGATTTGGAAGCAGAAAAGGCAAACGTAGTGTAGGACGTCCTCAGGCACGGTGGTGTGACGATTTGCGCAAGGTGGCTGGCAGGAGCTGGATGCGAGTAGCCCAAGATCGACCTCAGCGGCGTGCAATTGGAGAGGCATATGTCCAGCAGTGGACTAATGTAGGCTGTTGATTGAATTGATTGATATTTAGATGTAATAAAATCTTGGAAAAAAGTGAAATAGCCAATTACCACAGTGGTGCGTAAGGTGCAAACACAAATTTCAAAATTTGAACACGATTTTATTTTTAAACTTATAAATTAGTTGACGCTCTATTCTTAAGCCTGTGAAGTCTCTCAGCCTCCATAGTTTTTGTGATTTCCCAGCAGCTTTTGTTAAGTGTATCGTGCCCCCTTGAGAGGCTCACAAGTCTTGCCAGGACTAATAATCGATGCAGGTCATCTGCAGTCACTGGATTTTGAACATCGGATTTGCTCCTCATCTCTATAAAGTCGTCCTCTACAAACTGTGGACGAAAGTAATGTTATTGTCATTTAAATAAAATTGGTTGGCATAAGTACATATCTAAAAATCTAAGAAAAAAAATCACTCGGTCCAAGCAGCAGACGGAACTCGAACCCACACCCTCTGCTATCCAGGCATTATGCACTGGCCATTATGCTGCCACGGCACTAATGTCCATGTTACATCTCCACTAACGCATCTTCGGTTGGGTGTGAAAGGTTGAATGTTTTATTGTATATTTTTGCCTGTTCTGGCGTTACGCGACGTATTTTCGGTCAGATATGTACCGACCCTAAAAGAATTTTATTAATCGACATAATGGAATGTCGACATCGACAGATGGATATTGCAGTCCTAAGATGGTGCAATATCGTTTATAGTGGTTAAGGAGCGCCATTTCTATACTTTTGTATCTTGCCATTTTTATTGTAAGTAAATGCTAAATCAAATGAGATACTTTTACAAATATCAAAAATGATATAAAACACTGTTAACAATAAAAATTACCTGTAAATCTTCGGTTATTGTGTATTTGACAAGTTTAATACTGGTTAAATAGGTCCTTATGACATTCATAATTTCTTCTTTCAGATAATATGTGGCTGCTTCCACAATTGCATCAAAAATCTCTAAAGATGATTCTTCCGGTCTCAGGGGCACATGATAATCATTCTGAAATCATAATTTGTAATTAATCCAATATAATATTACATTCATTGCATTCATGGCAGAAAGACGCGTCAAAAATATGCATAAATAAAGTCAAGTAACAATAATATATTTATGCCATATATATCTAGACAAGCTAACTCAAAAAAAAATTTGATCTTTAAAAATTATCGTGTTAAGGGATCGTCATAAAAAATTAAAAGAGAATCTAATTTTTGCCCAGTTTATTAGAATGGCCATTGCCTTTTGAGCAACTATTGAAGAGTAATTAATTGGGTTGACTTTAAAGTCAACCCAATTAATTACTAGGCATTTAGATGCAATCAATTTCTCATTTACAAAAACTATCAAATAAATTAAATATGTGAAACAAAGTTAAGTAACTCACAGGCAACAACGACTTTCCCTCAGAAAGTATCAAGACTGGTATGTCCGCTTCGAAATCCATTTTGTAATACTTGAAGTCGTACTCCACTTTCTGGTTCTTGATCATGCTTCCAAGCGCCGCGATATTGTTAACTCCAGTTGCGTCTAATGTACCTTGTTCCATTTTAGTCTCATCCAATACCAGGTGCGTGTTTTTGCTTAATTGTAGAACGCCGCTGGTGAGGCGATTGCAGTCATAATCCTTTCTGGAATATTTTTAATCCCAAATAAATAACCATTGGAGTGGCTAAGAATTCTAAGGGCAAACCTCAAGTTGAACTTACTAATAGGTTTGGACTACTAATATGAAGACATTCAGCAATACTAGAATTTGTAGGGTGGGGCAAAAGGTTTTCTAATATGGACTTATGATGATATATGTGCTAAGGGGATGGGCGCTGTATGCTGTAATACAGGCATTTTGCATAGCTCGGCAGCAGATAAATATGTATGTTAAAGATATTATTACTGTTTTAGCCTACAGGCTCCCATCCTGTAGGATCTGTAGGTGACTTCGGCCGTTTTCGAAACCATAAGTCATTAAACAAAGTCCGGTGTTAGATTGACGACGCGGCAATGTTGAGTATAGAGCGATCAACCAAGTTGATACTTTTTATCAACTTGTACTTTAGCACTTACTGTTTTACCTAATGATGTTAATGATGATCCTCTTTGCTATGTAGTTAGTATAGGCGTATTTCCGCTCTTCTTCAAGGAGCACTTCAAAAGAAGCGTTAAGCATTTTTGTAGGTCAGTAAGTTGAGGATGGCTTGTGTGACAAGTAAATAATAATAAATAATAATATAATTAATAAATATTTCCAACACTCACACCAATTAGCCTAGCCCCAAAGTAAACACTGTAAGGCTTGTGTTATGGGATGCTAGGGTAACGGATAGAATACATATACTGTACATATATAAGTATATTTATATAGAAATACATATTAAACATCCATGACTGGAGTACAAATGCTCGTGTTCATCACACAAACATCTGCCCCCACCGGGTTCGAACCCGGGACCTCTCGAGTCGGCGACACCATGAAACCCGGCATACAAACCACTCGACCACGGAGGTCGTCAAACAATACGTAATAAGTAAGTAAAAGTAAAACGACTATATTTGTGTCGGGACTTCTATTTAGTTTCCGATTACCTTATCATATAATTATCAACAGACTTAAGTTATACTAAGTACCCACTTGAATGCTCTAGTGCCCGGAGCGGAGCCTGTCAGCTCGTTTTTTATTATGAGGCATAGGATTACTGTTGCATTAACACCCACACACACTCATGGATAGACACCTACACCACATAAAGTTACCAAGAGACAAACTCCTAACGACCCTTTTTGGTATTGTAGTGTTTGTAAGTTTGTAAAAGCTAAATAAAAGACTGATAAGGTAATTGCTTCTTGGTGTCTATATAATTTCCAGGAAACAATTACTAAAAAGTAATTGTGTCACTTGTAAACTTTAAACAATATTATTAAATCTTTTTACTTACTTAGGTAGCAGTGTCAGCGTATTCATATTATCTATGGTGAGTGGAAGATAATAACTTTTGGTAACAAACTGTTTTATAATATCATACAGCTGCTTTGCATAGTCCGGATACTTTTGTGTAGGCAAATTGGACAGATTCAAGCAAAACTGACCAAGCGTAATTGTATCTTGTCGTAAGTAACTGTAACATATAAAACAATCTACATAATGTGACCACAATATTTATCTTTAATATAATTATCACCTATCTATAAACACTTCATTACTTCATTGTTCATACTTACACCGAAGCAATAAGATGGCATATTAGATATTCGGCTGCCAAACTATCTCCAAGTAGTAATTCTGTTAATGCTTTTAACAGATGTTCTCTTGCTTCATTTGCTTTTTTCAAAACAGAATCTGTTGATAAATTTTTTATTTTTATTAATTATCATGTTATTATTAGCCAGTATGTATCTTGACTTGATCCACATGGACTTTAGTATTCTCACTTTTATGGGATCTACCAATATTTGACCATAATATGAGTTACAAGACTTTATATATTTTGCTGTGGACTTATTCTGTTCTTTGTTTATTGTACAGGATATTTTTTTTCTGAGATTAAAGTTTCAAGGCTTTTAAGAATTGGATATAAAGCCAAATTTTATCCATACTAATTTAGCGCTTTTTGCATAATTGAGCAATAAACAATGAAGGAGGATTTTAAACGTAAAAAATATCTTAATATTGTCTGTCCATAATTGCAAATAGAATGGAAATACATTTTTTAGTGTAATATACATACCTTGATCAAAATTCTCTTGTATAAGAGGATTACAATGTTCCAATTTTTTTACATATACAGCATGTAAACGCGGTACAAGACTGGGTGGAGGATTATGTGTGATAGTTTCAACTTCACTTTCAATTTCAGGTTCGACGAGCAAGTCCTTTTCAGGCTGGAATTCACCGGACAAAGCTGGATCTACTGATAAGAAACCAACTACCTCAATTAAGTCATTCAACTTCAGGTTATCATTTTCTTCGTAAATCTGGAATAAATGAATATGAGAATAAATTATAAATGTCCTTAATGCATGCGCATGGACAGCGGAAGGAGCTGGTTTTCAGCCTGACAAATGGGTTAGACTTTATTATAGTTTTTTTTTTCAAAGGACACTGGGCAAAAATGTATGGACGCTGCACCCACGTCCGTCACAGCTTAAATTACATTTGTTTGAAAGGTATTAAAATCATGATCATCTGCACCAAAGCGCATCAAATTCCATCCCAGGAGTCTTTAGTTATTTTAAGTTAAATAAGTCCAAGTACTATAACGAATGAACATTAATGAAACAATGGAATTAATTTAGTTAGTTTGACCATACATAGAGGGCTCTGGCATTATGGAAGTACTTCACAAGGTGCAAGGATTGTTACTATGTTATTCTGCCGCCCTCAAGTAAATCCCCGCATGGGTTAGGGTTTTTTCAAACAGTCTGTTTGTTATAATAAATTGTCTTCTATTGAAGATGGAGGGACCACAAACTTGTCCACGCTTCGGAGACAACATGATTCCAGCTCAAATACTAATTGACAAAACTGATAATCGTGTTCCAATTCCCAAAGCGTGTTAGATAAAAATCAATCAAGTGACAGGGAGCAAACAAACACAACAAAGTAAGATGAGTAGACTATGCAACTGCAAGTCCTTCAACCCCCGTAAACCGTTTTGTGGTGGCTCAGTAAGTGCGAGCCATGATGCTCGGCAGGCTTTGTCATATACCTGGTTGTATAATATGATATAGCATAATATTATGATTACTAATACTATAAAATTCATTTATTTAACTACTTATGTAAGCATGCCTATGTCATAATAAAAAAGGCTAGTTTTTCATAGATCTATTGATTCATACTAATTACATTGTTGGCGGAGCTGGGTGTGTTTTTCCCATTGTCCTTTATAACTAATATATACTGTTTAGAAAAGCGATACTTTTCTTATTTTATTATATGTATAGATGAGCAATCATATTTAAAATATGATAAGATAAATGAAAAATATTAATTGTAGCTAACTAAAGCTGATGTTGGGATATAGTCATAATACATGATTGAAGGGTCAAAATTAAACTTTTATAGTATGTTACAAATGTTACAATCACAGACACTTTAAGAGTATGCCTCAATATTTGGCAATATTTTGTGATCATATATATTTTTTATGCTACTTTTTCTCATCATACTGTACAGGAAATGAAAAGGAGGCTGCTGTCAAATTCTTAAACAGCTTATACAAATACCCATGTGAAGTGCCAGCATAAGAATATTACAAAATCAATTTTAGTACTTAAGGTAAATTATAACTAAAATTAATTACAAACAAATTTAAGGGTAAGTTTAAAGGACAATCAAGAAGAAAACAACAACATAAAGTTTGGAACACTATTTGATTTGTGTTTGTTTTTGAAAAAACATACTTACTTTAACAATACATGACTTACTGGACACATCAGGCAGTGGAAAGTTCAATAGATGCTCTCTAGATACAAGGTTTGAGGGGTTGCTCGGATTCTCACAGATTTTTCTTTCTTTAGAACAACTTTCTGTAACAACAACATCCATAGCATCTGGGTCTTCATCGGTTTCATCATAACTTCGCTTCAATTTTGTACTTGATGGAGTGTTAAGCCGTCTAGACGTGTTTGGTTGCTGCTCTAATCGTTTTAAATGGTTTTGTTTATCTTCTACTTGATGTGCCCAATCATTCAAGCCAGGGATTGACACAACAACAACAGTCTGACGTTGGGCACTTTTCAAATTGTGAGCATAGTTAATTTTTTCATTTTCCTAAAAAATCATATTTATTAGGCCAAGCCAAAATGTAAGTGAGATTTTATAATTATAATTAATTTAAATCAATATAATATTATGGTTATACTCACAAATACATTAGCTGTATCGCGGTACTTTCCAGATTTAACTTTTACTTCATTAGTAATTGTATTATAAATCTCAAATTGTTCAAAGTAAAATTCTGGATTGTGCATATCTTGGACCATTCCTCTAAATCGCACCAGTGTGCCATCCGGAAGATTATGAGAGGCATTGCAATTAATAAGAGGTATCTGTAAGGTTATACAAAGGTCATTATAATAATCAAAGGCACCACTTTTCAAAAGATTAATATTATAATATATTCAAGTACCTGAAACCAATCTTGGAGTTTTAACAACTTTTCTTTCCACGCTTGCTCATTTGCTAACCATAAATCTGGAGTCACAGTTTCAAAATCTGATACAAGATCATACATTATAAACGCTTTTACAGGGTGTTTACAGGTAAGTATGACAAAAAAAATCTTGTTGACAAGTTGGTGAGACCCACAATCTAATCAAAGATGTAATCAATTTAAAAATGGTCTGTGCTTTTCGGACAATTTGGTAAATTTTCCTTAAGTTATACTCTTTTGGAAGTTATTTCTATTGTCAGAACCAAAACCTGCGCTCCAAAGCTCAAAATTGCGCCAAAACTCTATGCACAGGCCGACAGGCACAGATAAGGAATCCGTCTTGCCAGACGAGTTATTTCTTTAAACCAAAAAAATTTGACAGTGCATCCTCGTCATGCTCTTTAAAGAAAATGAAAAGGAGAAACTTGTTTCTAAAGCTTAGAAACATATGTCCAAATCAGGCCCCAATCTGTGAATTCTTGTCATCCTCAGGGAGAGACAGTTATCTTGTGTAGTTTTAAGTTTAGGGAATCATGCCGACAATTATGTCAGTGCCAACATGACCCGTCCCAAGCCAATATCCAATATCCAAGGATTAATGGACATGGACTCTTTATTGACTTAAAGAATGGACAGTTGGATTTTATTACATAATTCTACTTTCAGCATTCCAAATCTGAACTTAACGGTATATTATACTACTCTTTGAGACCTAGACTGAGTGTGAGCAAACTTAGTGCAAACAAACAAATCGTATCCATTCAAATCCATTTAGGTAATATAAAATAAAAAATTCAATGGATCGTACTGCTGTGCATAGATTTTCTAAAAGATCGAGCATCCCTAAGGTATTTTTTATCTGTGCTCTAAGTCATAGAGAAAGTAAATAACTGAGTGAGTGATGTGCAGTGATGCCAGAACGTCCCAAAAGGGACGATTTTCGTCCCTTTTCTCATCAAAGCGTCCCATCGATGTCCTTTTACATATTCCGTCCCTTTTCCGTCCGTTTTCGATAACGCTTCACTGCAACATCAGACGAATGCGTTTCGTTTCACTCATTGATTTATTTCACTAAATTGCCATCACTATTCGTTGTACATTGTCAACTCTATTCGTCAAATCACCCAGTAAACTACATCGAATCCAACGCTCGCTACGAAGGTGACTTTTAATAAATACCTACCTATATCTATATACCAACTCAAAGCTCAAACCCAATAACCTACCATATCTTACCTAATAAAACTTTTGTTGTTGAGGTATGTTTCAGTTATGAAGATAATAGGTAACTTAAGAATAAGTGCTTGCTTTGTAGAGTCGTAAGTACGTACGGTACGTTCGTATCACCATGATGTACCTATGTCCTCCGTACCATCTTCATTATGTTTATTGTGTGGCCAAAAAAATATAATTAATGTGGCTCTGTTAAAATGTTTTTTGAAGTGAAACTTCTTTAGGCACGCCTTGACTTGGGGGGTAAACTGCGGGTCAATTATGCTTCAGTAATAAAATTCTAATGTGATGTCAATATGATGTTGATGCCAAGTTGACATTGTTTTTAGATGGTAATAAGAAACATTCCTATGTCACATCAAGATCATATCAATATTATATCCTGTATCACATTTTTGACGTTTAAGCGATACTATTTTAAGTCAAAAAGTTGAACGTAATACGCATTTAAGTTGATATCATTTTATAGAGTTGATCATCATCATAGCATAAGGTGATGTCATTTTGATATCGCATTTTTCGGAGAACATAATACGTAATGTGAAATAGACATCAAAACAATATCACAAATAGCGAGCATAATTGGCCTGCTGGCGAATTGTTACGATTTCGTGTTACGATTAGTGTCATCGGTGACTCATCGGTAAACAATGAACAATACCTGTAACAAAATACATAAAGCTAGTGCTTGGCTTGGTGGGTGATAACGGACCCAGCGTGGATTGATGGATGATAACGGACCCAGCGCAGATTGGTGGGTGATAACGGACCCAGTGTGGATTGGTGTATAATAACGGACCCAGTGCGGATTGGTGGATGATAACGGACCCAGTGCGGGTTGGTGGGTGATAATGGACCCAGCGCGGATGGGTTGGTGATAATGGATCCAGTGCGGATTGGAGGGTTATAACGAACACAGCGCGGATTGGTCGGTGCCAATGGACCCAGTGCGGATTGGTGGGTGATAATGGACCCAGCGCGGATTGGTGGTTTTTTTCTATCAAATTTCAGATCATTGGAGCTATAGAAGTTTCACTTCAGTCGTGTGTTCCTAAACACACTCGCTTTTTTTGACGTGACAACGTCTTAAATTAGGTTGCGGCTGGGAGTCACTTATGAAAAAGTGTAACGCTCAGTAACGTTACGATGAGTCTCTCGTGTTAAGTTTAAGTTTACATGTACAATGTTTTAGTAAACAAAATATATTTCTATAGTTAAAATTTGTGCAATTCTTATTTTCATTCAATTCCTTGTTCCTATTGTGCAATTTAATTATATTCATATCAATAAATATTCTACCGAGAAAAAGACGTTGTCACGTAAAATCTTCGCCCGTAAAACCGACTTTACAGGCAACCATTTTTTTTTCATTTAACCGCATTATGATAGAACTACACTTACCTGTCGTGTTGTGTTGTAACACATCTTTCATTCAATTATGGTTAAAGTGAGAACGCTGTCAAAACATCGCGACACACAGGAATAGTTCTTAGTGCTAACCGTACTAAATGTATGAAGCAGATTGCGCCACAATACAACACGTAAGATAAATATAGTTCAGCCTTTAGTTTAATATTTCTGTAAGGCCGTCCTTTTTGACTAAAAATCGTCCCTTTTCAGATTTCGAATCGTCCGAAACACGACGCAGGTACTGGCAACACTGGTGATGTGATGATTAATTATTTACTTTCTCTATGATCGCGTCGTCTGTTAGCGATTAGCGTGGTTGTGTAGTTTTATTTTGCATTTCACCTGTTTCTTACTTACTTAATATTTGGAGAGTTCCCTGGATATTGTTACTATTTATTTTATCATAAGTTATACATTGGTTTTGGTGTTTGGAAATACTAACAACTAGAAAACAATACCTAAACGTAGCGTCATTTTTTAGCGTCCCGGCACTTGTGTTAGCGCTTAGCAAGATGAGTAAGTTTAATTATATATCCGAGACTTTTAGTACTTTTATTATTTGTTTTCATATAATATTTAAAAGCTGTACTTTATTAAATACTTAGAAATTGTGACATAACCTAAAAAATTTCAGCTTTGGATATTCGCCCCAACCACACAATATACATCAACAATCTAAATGAAAAAATCAAAAAGGAGGAGCTTAAAAAATCTCTGTATGCAATATTTTCCCAGTTTGGTCAAATCCTGGATATAGTGGCGTTAAAAACACTAAAAATGCGTGGTCAAGCATTCGTGATTTTTAAAGAAATATCCAGCGCTACTGTGGCTCTTAGAAGTATGCAGGGCTTTCCCTTCTATGATAAACCAATGGTAAGTTATTTTTGGCATTATCTTCCCAAAAATTCTATATCAACTACAATTTTACTTATAATAATAAATTACCATGTGTCTAAGTTTAAGAAAATTCTATTTGCAGAGAATTCAGTATTGCAAAACAGACAGCGATGTTATTGCAAAAATTAAAGGCACCTTCCAAGAGAGACCTAAACGTCCTAAAATGCCTAAAGGTTTGGATGATGCTAAGAAAAAGAAGAATAAAGATGCCAATCGTCTTGCTGGACATGGCGGTGGTCAGCAGAGTTTACTCAACAATGTCAATGTGGAACAACCACCAAACCAAATCTTATTCCTCACAAACCTACCTGATGAAACATCCGAGATGATGTTGTCTATGCTTTTCAACCAGTATGTATTTATTTAGTATTTTTTTTTATTAAAATTGTATGAGTATTGGTGTCAATTCTGAGATGATTCTCTAAATCTAAACTTAAATTTGACAACAGTGGTGTTGATTCTAACATGATTCTCTAAAGCTAAACTTAAATTTGACAACAGTGTATCCTTGTCATTCTCTACACAGAATGAAAAGAAGAGACTGATGTTAAATTTAGTTTTAAGTTAAGAGAATCTTGTCAGAATCGACACCATTGTATCCTTTTCATTCTCTATACAGAACGAAAAGGAGAGATTGATGTTAAATTTAGTTTTAAGTTAAGAATAACGCTAATATCGACACCATTGTTAGCATAATTATATGATCACTTAGAATGTTTATTGAACTGGTTAACTTTACAGATTCCCGGGTTTCAAGGAGGTGCGGTTAGTGCCCAATAGGCATGACATTGCATTTGTGGAGTTTGCTAATGAAATGCAATCGGCAGCGGCAAAAGAAGCTTTGCAAGGCTTCAAGATAACACCAACTCATGCTATGAAGATAACATTTGCTAAAAAATAGAGTAATAGCATAATATTGTAAATAAGTTTATTCATAAATAAATAAAGTCTGACTTCTTTATTCGAGAACTGTTTTAAGCATTGCACTTGGCTTAACAGCTCTCTGGCTGTGATTAGTTATATAATAATATTCTCTTTTAATTCCTCTAATTAAATGATTCACGTAACTAAGTGGGAATTTCGATTAATTCCAATTATTAGATATTTGACAATATTAACGAAATAGAAGGTAAATATTGGGAAAATCTTGTTTAGGTGTTTTAGGATGTACTGGGCAGATTTTTAATCATATTTTTTTACAAGTTTTACTATGCTTGCATTAATAAATTCACAGTCGGCACTTGGCTATTTGAGATCAGTCTGTCCCTTCTCTTCCTTTTAAATCATGATAAAGATAGATTATTGTAATAGCCTAGTGAATAGCGTTGCCGTTTTGTGTAGTCAAGGTCTCTCGTGTGTAATATGGCATATGTGTGTAATTGTGTACTATTACAACCGTTCTCAAACACTGCTGTAATTCAGAAATCCTATAACAATTCTGCGTGGTAAGAATCGCACCTTTTGTATATCACTGATAAAAAAGTTCGTTCTATTCATAGACATGGTATCAAAATGTCTATGCTTCTATTACTTTGACATTT